CTCGTCGACATAAGATTCCATCTAGCTTTCCCACCGGGGCAGAAATAAGTTTCACAAAAAGATAGCATGAGCAAGAAGTGTAGAACATTTCCTCCCAAATGTGACTAGAGTGTGAAACAGAGAAGTGGCTGATAAAAATTCAAACTGACAAAACAATTGTTAGGCAGATCACAGGGAGCTGATTTTAACCAAGAAGGAACGACTTTGTGTCTTTTGAACTTCTACCCCGTCTTGAACGGGGGATGTAACGTAATGTAGCGATGGCCTCACATATGGCATCAGGGGATGGCACCACAAATCTGAATTGAGCTGAACACTGAGTGACTAAAATACCACAGTACAATAAATACTTTCAAGTTTTTTTTTTCACACCTTAAGGGGACAATTATAAAGCTATTTTACAACCTAAAATAACTGAAGAAAAACCTGAATTTTTCTGTGGGAATAAAAATAATGTCTCTCTGATGAAAGAACAAAAATGGAGCACAGTCTCACCAGTGTCCACTCTCCAACTTAAGCACTGAGCTGGCAAAGCTTTGGTTACTTAAGCTGTGCCAGCGAAAGTGAAGCCAAATCTGATTCATGATAACATTGAACAAAGAGGGAAGCCTGGCTTGCTCTGTGTCACCATTTGATTTGATCTGTCGTACTTGTTGATTTAAAAATGAACCAGTGGCAGAAAATGGACTCAAGTGTTTTTGAAAGCCTCTTAGGAGAGTCTTGACCGCAGTGTTTACTGGAGTTAGTCAGGACTTTCTAAGAATGCATTGCTTATGAGACTCTGAGCCCATACCAATACTCTTGTTTAAAATAAGAATTTAGCCAGTAGCCAAAACTGATATTTTTTGTTGCTGTTGATTAGTTTAGTTTATTTTGTTGTTATTCCCCTTTTGTGCAAAAAAAGGGTAACTGGTTTAAAGTGATTCAGTCCCTTATTATCCCAATCATAGACACACAAAAAACATCTTTAAAACAACTTTAGGATGTTCTACTAAATATATCATAATTCTCTCTCTAATATCTGTTTTATATTGCTGTGAAAACATCAACAAATTTCTCCCTCAAACAACTGTATTAACTCAAGTTTCTCACCCCAAGTACATTTTACAAGATCACATCATGAGAATGCTTTAATTCATCTTTGCCCAAATAGTAATTTGTACTGAACAGAGCTTGAATGTAAATCAATGCAACCTCTTTCAGCAGTTAAGGCCTTTGCACACCGAGTTTGTTTTTTCATCCGAAAATGTCGCACATCTAAAAGTAATTAAGACCTTCCGTTGTGTCTATCATGAGTCAGAAACAAATTGCAACAGGTTTGATTTTCTGCTTTTCCCACATTTGTCAGAGCCTTTAGAGATGTTTGACCAAGAATCAGTGACGAAAAAAAGTGGCGGCGGGACACGGCCACAACAAGAGAGAGGAACGGGGCATACAGAATCATTTCATAACTCAGATAGCAATATTAAGGTGGATGAAGATGAAGAGGAGGAGGATGTGGACTGCACACAAGTTGTGGAGACAGAGAGGGAGCACAGCTCAGATGACGGATTAAAAAATGCATTTGAAATACACAGAGTCAGTATGCAAAGGCCTTTAGTTGGAGCTTGGAGCTAACGCTAACTAGCTTTCCTGCTTCCCATTTCAACACGGATTTGTTGTTCACACTGTAGCATTATCAGGGAAACAACAGGGTGTATCCACCGATGTGTCGCTAGGGAGTTTATTACGTCCTTTCGTCACAAAGACATCCCTGCAAAGATCTACATTTGTCCAAAACACATTTTATATTGTCCCCGGGGTGATGGAATGTCATTAGTCATAGTGCCCTGCTTTTTTAGCCTGTGGAAAATTGATGTGACACAACCAAAAACATCAGCCACCGACATCGGCGAATGCCATCTTATTTGCTGATAGGCTGATGGCAGTCAACACGGCGAATATCAGCCGATACTGATGTATGGCCAATGGATCGTGCATCCCTACAATATACTGTTCTTTACAGTCAGTTTGATGTCATGCAATTATGTGTATTTTGGGCAAAAGATGAGCTAATGCACTTCAGGCATGCCATTTAAACAATGCTATGTTCATATATAAATTCTCTTTTCACCAACACACTCACATACACCACATGCTTTAAACACAAAACCATTATAACTGGCAGAGAGAAAATGAAGTGAATTTGCAAGTGCCTCAAATTCCCTGTGTCTCCACCCCCTTTGATGCCAAACATGGAACGGCAGTTAAATTCTTCATGAATTGTTTGAGATTTGGTTGATGTCATTTAGGCACAGCCAATCACTCCTCTGCCAGCCGCTTAGTGAGAAGTCAGTCACTTTTACAAAGCCCATCCGTAGCTGTAATTATTGTGTTACATAACAGGTTTCCAAACCAATACAAAAACCTGTTCTGACCAGTAAATGTACCATGTAGTGGAGCTGATCATATCATATCTTAAACAGGTGTCCACTTTTTTTTTTTTTTTGGTAGATTTCCTACTTATTTTTAAATGTGGATGTGCACCACAGAGTCTTCTACCCATTAAATATTTAAGGGCATTTGCTCTCCCCGAGAAATACATCCAATGCAGCCTTCATGAATATAAATTAAACGTTGAATTCATCTTGAGAATTTTCTCAAATAGGGCTGATGCCACAAGGATTCTTTACCCACCCCTCTCTTCTTTTATCACATAGTTTTGCAACCCACCACCCTCCGTCTAACCCTACCCTTAAAGACAATCCCCCTCTTAATTAAAGAAACAGGCCTCGATTCCTCAACTCATCACAGTAATATGACAACTGGGCCTGGACAAGACCCCGGGGGACATGCACTTACCTTGAGCTGTTCCAGTGGCAGAAAAACGCTTCTGTTGCTAATGCCCCAAAAGCCTGCAGTTAATATCAATGGACCATATTCTTCCTGGGAAACATGTGAGGCAGTTTCCTAGCGACCAAGAAGCCTGGCAAGCCTGACTCTGAACATAGCACCTCAAACCCTCTCAGGGTCTCAGGTGAGGTATTTTACTTTTGCTTCTGGCTCACAACTCTTGCACTGCATGGGAGATTTGAAGCCATTTGACTTTATTAAACTTTAGAGTGTTTAGAACGTGGTTGCTTTCCTAAAAATCCCCAGGCAGTACTCAAACTTTGGCATTCTTGCTTCAGGGTTCTGTAAACTATGTCTTCAATTTTTAAAAGCCAAAAAAATACGCCTTAAAAATCAGTTTCATGCAGCCCCTTTGGTCTCATTTCTTGTTGTAGAGTCACAGACACAATGACTTTTGCTTTATGTGCCCTTAAACTTATGATAAATATTCTTGACACTAAATGAAAACACATATTTGGTAATGTATGTCAAAAAACATAAAAATTTCAATGTTGTCTTTGTTGGGCTGCAGGACATTTTGAGACATTAAAGTTTTTATATCTATGTTACATCCAGCCAGTGATTTAAAAGAGTTTAAGTGTCCAGGAAACAAGGATCTGTACGACTGTGTGTCATCAGTGTATAATGTATGCAGTGTTTCTGGATAAGAGGCAACATGTACAAAGTGGACAGAGGACCCAATATCGAGCCCTGTGGGATGCCACATATGATGTTTCCTTTACTAGCCAGAAAAAATTCTCAAAACAGAAAATGTTCTGTTAGTGAATATGAATATTTTTGTATTTCCCCTTTCAGCCTTGTGTACTAGAAAGCACTTTCGTATACAACTCATTTGAAACAGCAATCATGTATAAGGGAAATGTAAGGCAAAGCCATTAATGTTTTCTATTAACATAATGAGGAAATGTTACTAATTAGAAGGTCTGTCGTGTGTAGGACTTAGTGCCATCTAGTGGCTGAGGATGCAAACTGCAACCAATTGAAACCTCTCTCATGTGCCAAGCATGTAGGAAAACTTTGGTGGCGAACACGAAAATGCGAAAACGTGGATGGCCCTGTGTAGTGCAAGTGTTTGGTTTGTCTTTTTTAGGTAACTGTAGAAATATGGCAATGAAACATGGTGGATTCTGTGGAAGATGACCTGCTCTGTATGTGGATATAAACAATTCATCCTAAGGTGATGAAAACACCATGATTCCTGCCCCTTCAAACAAATGCACAAATTTAAAAAGAAAAGGTTTGAAGCTGCACTTATAAATATCTTTATCAATGCTAAAAATGACTATGTATACTCTAATGTGATTAGTGGTCAATCATAGTAATGAACCCTGATGATCGCCTCATCTTCACAGAGCATTTAAAGTCTTGCAGTTGAATCTTTCAGCTTATTGTTTTAGTTAAACAGCACTCAATATTACTGCTTTGGTTCAGACTCACTGCTACCTCAACCTCTTTTCCAGGTGTGTCAGGCAGCAGGTTTTAGCAAAAGAGCACGAAAAAACAAATATCATTTTAGTGTCTTTCAGCTTTTAGCTTTTCCAGAGGCAGAGGGAAGCTATTTCAGAAAAAATAGCTCTTTATAAAGTCAAGTGTGTAGGATTTAGGGACATCTATTAGCAGAAATTGTATAAAATATTCCAAACTCTCTTCCACAGAGTTCACCATGTTGTTCTACAGTAGCACCGTCAAACCAACAAACTAACGTCGTGTTTCGACGTCAGTCACCATAGTTCTTCTACATGGCTTGCCACAAGATTCAGTTCTGCAACCTAACTAGATGCCACTGGATCTAACATGACATCCCCCAGCAAGGCAAGGCAAGTTGATTTGTACAGCGCCTTTTTAACAACAAGGCAATTCAGAGTTGGTGGAGACCAAAACAGAGCTAAAAAGACCGTGAATATTGGACTTAGACTGCCAGAAACATGACTCTATATTTATGCTAATTTTGTATTTTGTCTGCTGGATGTAAACTTACAAAACTGTCGCCAACAAGAATAAATCTTTAAATCTAAATCATGCAGCTTTACCGAAAAATCAACTGAATAAATCAGTGCCTGATTGCCTGAGGGTGTTCAGCTAGATTAGTATGGGTGTTGTGTTCTCACCTCATCTAGATGCACCAGGAAGGTGACGTTGCTGCCCAGGTTGGCGGTGAGTTTTCCGTTTTTCGTTGTCAGCAATAGTCCTTTAGGAGGTCTGTTGGGGCACTGCTGCTTTCTGGCCGTGTACATTTCTTTAACTCCTTTAGTGCAGTTGTTCAGCACCACTTTACGGTACCTTGGGAAAGATCCAAAAGAAATGTTTTTCTTTAACTGTATTGTACTCTGCCCCTTTTACCAGTTTAATCTACTCAAGTCTATGCAGTCCTTCAGTTTTTGAACTAATCCCCTTGATGCTACATGTACTTGTGGTTTAGAAACAATGTTGTTGAACTCTGCAGAGTGGTGTGTCAGTACAGCTGTTGTGCCTTCCAACTGCAAAAACCAGACCAGATGACAAGTGACAACACAAGCTGTGTGTCAGAGGCTGAAACACCTTACAAAGCTTAATCACAGCGTTGGTGAATAAAAACACTCCCACTGCGATTAAGCTTTGCAAGGTGTCTGTCCCCTGGGGAGCCTCAAAACTAACACAGAAGACATATCCTGCTGGCACAAGAGAGAACATCAAGTGAAAGTAAATTATTACGCCACAGATACAAACAATATGAGTGTTTGGTATAAGAACGTGTTATCACAAGTGACTAAACTGACATGGTGAAGTGCAGTGGTAGTAATTTTAGCTTTGGGGAAGTGCAGTAAATCTGGATACTAAAATAAGTTGAGCAAACAATGTTCCCCATGCCAGAATCATCATGGCCACCTGACCCCTTCACCACATCTAAGTAAGTTTATGCCAGTGATGGAAGCAATACTCACATACTTTAATTAAAGTAAGGCTATGTACATTTTTTGAGAAGAAACAACGCAATCATATTGTTATAAATAACAACTGATATTTGTGAGCTTAAAACAACCTTGCGTAACTGAATACACTCAAAACTGTTGCAAGGCAGATTTACTGTGAAATGACCCTGTTACCACTTGTGTGTGGCCGGCTATTTCTAACACTACTAAACTCAAACTCTTTCTTCAACAAATGGGCTTTTGCAGGATTATAATAATGGATTTATCAGAGTTTTGTATGCCCGCATTGTTAGCCAGCATGTTAAAGGAATACTTCACCACCCAAATGATCGTTCGTGTATAAATTACTCCCCCCCCCATGTTAAGTTAAATTTGGGAAGAAAACTTGAGCCTCAAATACAGACAATGTTTAACGAACTGAAGTTCAGTCAGGACCACTTTAGTCACTTTAGTTCCATTTGCAGTATTATATTTGGTGGTATGGCTCTGTTCTGGGGCCTCTCTGCCTTTTCTGGGCCTATCTTTCACAAGCGTACGTGGGAAGCCTAAGGTGGAGAGAGCACACCTCTCTGCCCTTCCATATGCAAACTGGAAAGCCTGAGGCAGAGAGAACAAACCTCCCTGCCGTTCCATGCGCTTACATGGAAAACCTAAGGCAGTGAGAGCAGCTGCAAAGACCTCCCGGGAACAAAACAGAGCAGCATCAATGACAACCAGAAATGACACTGATAAGTCAGACACAGCATGAAAAGGCGGAGCTGGGGTGGAAGCGGGTTGCAAAGCGGCTTGCAGAGGAAGAAGCGACAGTAGGCAGGCCAGAGCAGTTTAAATAGGGTGCCCTGAATGAGATTCACCAGTTGATTGCATAGAAAGGAATCATGTAGTCTATCAGCTGACTCCTTTCCATCAATCAGATGCTCCATCGGTAGATTGGGCTGTTTGAGATCAGCTGATGTAGCTGGGATGTGAGCTGATCTTGATATCGTGTCCTGCCTGAACTAACACAATGCTCACTTCATAGGGGTCTGCATTTAACAGCAGCAAAACTATACTGAAACATCCATTTACAAACTCACACACAACTTATGCAATATAATCTAAGTCGCATTGAAGTTGCATTTATCCAGTCTTATGCTCAGGACTTCCCAAACACACGCATTTTTGCTAAAATATTATGATCTGAAACACTTCTGCATAACATTGCAGGCGCTCTACTCATCCATGCCCCAGACTGTTTATGCAGAAGTGTTTTAAATAGAAATGTTTAAGCAAAAATGGATGTGTTTGGGAAGCACTGAGAATACAACTAGATAAATGAGACTTGGGCTGTACTGCAGTTTGTAAACACATGTTTTGATATAGTTCTTCTGGTGTCAAACGTGGACCCCTATGACTTCAATTTACCAAGAATTTTCTCTGTTTTGTTCAATGTGCAGTGAAGCACAGCGGTTTTCTTTCCAAATTCAAAGTAGCATGGAGTGAGTAAAATGGTTATTTGGGGATTGAAGTATTCCTTTACACCAGCTACAGCTACTTCTGCTACAGCTACTTCTCGTTCCGGGATCAGTATCTGCTCTAAAACCCTGCCTGAGCATCTAAGAAAGAGCCTCCAATACAGACGTGTTTGTGCAAAGAAGAAATTCACATAAACATACATCACATGATATGAAATCACACAGTCCTCACCCTGTGCTGTTGAGGTAGTTTTGACCCTGGCTGCAGCTTCTGGAGAGAGTGGAGGGGTTGAACCAGAAGGCATGCCGGCAGTTCCCATCGCTGCGGCGCTCATATCCATAATCACTGTTGGACAACAAAGCACATCCACACGGCACTTGATCAATATCAGCATGTGAGAAGGGACATATTGTCATACAGTGTGTTCCACATCCCTGTCTTATCTATCTCTTTATAACTGGTGACCTGGGGCCTGTCTGGCACAGAGACGCACCATTATTACATATTGATTAAGGCCACAGTTGACAAATGTGCCACAGCAGTGTGAAACAGTGTGTATGGAAACACACTATGGAGGGGGGTTGGTGTACACAAGGATGACAGACTCTCAGTTGCCTGCTAGCTTTTCCAATCAGAACATGATTTACATCTAACAAAGCAAGGTAAGCAAGTGTCCACTTTAATAATGGTCATGACATTGATTTATCAATTAATCACCAAGCCAGAACAAATAAACAGAAGGGAAAAAAACAGTGGCTGACTAGTCTAGTTTGACTCTTTGGTAACGACAGTGTGAAGTATTCATTAACAAGCTGTCAAAGCACATTGGTTGCACTGGTGCATATGGCTTGAGAGGTAGAATAGTATGGTGTCTTTGGGGACAAACAGACAAAAGTTTCGCTACAGAGTGAGACTGAATACAACACTGCTAAAGCTAGGTCTATTTGCAGAATTTGGATTGTGGTTCAACCTTCACATGATTTCACCACTTCAAACTATGACACTTCAGGAATCTCTCTAGCATCAGTTTTGGATGTTTGGGGACAACATGTCAATTTCTGCCTGTAACATGCATTGTGTCTTTTCAAAACAAACTTTTGTTTTCATTGGAAATGTACGTTTGTCACCAAGGTTACTTTAGTTTTAGGCAAGAAAAACTCATGGGTCTGGTTAAAATAAGTATGTCTGTTGCATAACTTAAACTGAGTTTCACATGATGTATGTCACGTGACAGTAACTATGCTGCTGGTACTATTTGGTTTCACATGGGACATCAACTGCAGCCTCCTTGGTGAAATTCTTCCCACCCTACGCCAACTTTCTAGCTCCTTATACTTTGTCATTGCTGTGGATGGGTTTACAATGGAGTTAATTGAAAGGCTGGTGCCTCTCATACAGAAGCCAAAGGGTGCCTTTAGCATCAGAATCTGTAGTCTCTTACACAGATGCCGATGACGTCAGCATGCTGGCTGACTCTGTCGTCTGTGGACATTCCCATAAGAAAGTTATAACAGAACTAGCGCTGGTTCCCAGCGGCAGTGATGTGATTGGATCCAAATCCGTGTACTTCCGTACTTCCTCGAATAATGGCTGATTAGCTTTGCCTTACACTGGAATTGCTGTTCCCCAAATTGTTGTCCGTATTACAACAGAAAAAGGAAGTGTTCAGTGCATCGCAAGAAAATGGATATGATTTCATTTGATTCAGTTATATTGCAGAGCTGCAACATCACTGTTGCATGTAACACACATGCCGTACCTATGGCAACGCTATTACAAAACGAAAGACGAATGTCCCCAGACTCCCATTCCAAAGTAAGGGAGGCTGGTCACGTGAGACTACAGAATCTGCTCCTGATAGCCGCTGACCAAGATGCCATATTTGATGTCCTGAAGGTCTGTATGTTTCATATGAAGCTAGTAGCAGGTGATTAGCTTAGCTGAACAAATAGACTGGTTGCCAGGTGTAGCTGAGTTTTCATTTCCAGTCTTTATTCTAAGCTAAACTAATCAAATCCAGATGAGACTGTCATAAATGTCATCATGTGACATCCACAAGACGTATGTCATATTGAAATACAGCCTAAGGTTACTTTCACACCTATAGTTGTTCACTATGTTGCCAAAACACATGGAATATGACACAAGTGTAAGACACCTGTGTTTTGACACCTTGCTGATGTGCATATGTGTTACCGTGGTTAACAAATAATCTTGCATAAAAATATTTGTTGCTTATATGGATCAGGAGATGGCTGTCTAAATAACTTCTCATCAGGAGATGGAGTCAACTGAAGGTTAGCTCTTGATTTAATGCTAATATCACATATCTGCACAAGAACCAGTGGGCGGTTGTCTTTGTTTTCACTTAGACCAAACTTTTCAAAGTTATATGGTCACTGCCAAGTTCCACTGACAGCACAAATGAACTAAAAGCATCTGTGTATTTTTTGTTGTCCTCATTTAGATCAAGGACTATCTAATAAAAAATGAGTTAACAACACTAAGAATCAAATTGAGCATCCAACGTCAACTTTTAGTACCTAACAATTTTTGATAGTTTTTGCTACAATATGGCCGATACTCATAACGTATAAAGATTTGATATCCAGCTGTAGTCTTTGATGAATCCCCCTCTTGTACTGTATTTACAATATAATGTTGGAACTGCACTGCACCATCTTGCACAGCACCTTATTTCATACAAGGCTAATAAGTATGTACTTCAGATGATCATGTGGCAGACAGACTCTTCACATCTCAAATTACGTTAAAGGATTAAAGCTTTTTTCTACACTGATGGTTTTTTAAATCCTCATTTTAGAATTTTAAGCATGCATCAAATAATTCCCTGCACAGAGAGAGACAGAGCAAGATAGACAGGCAGAAATCAGACTCAGTCACAGAAAGAAAATAGAACAAACTTTACATCAGTTCAATGGGATGCATTTGGCACTCTACAAACACTAACTGCTGTATGTTGGGATGGCTTTTCTTTCTGTTCCCTGTCATTACAAGATAAAAAATACAACCGTTTAGGATTTGCATACAAATTGAAACTATTTAAACCCACCCACATCGTTTCAACAGAATTACAAGCATGGCGAGCTCACAGACAGACACGACACAGACAGACATTATGAGCAAATTGTGCAAAACGATCCCAAACTTATCATATTATTGGAAAACACACAGCAAATGGAGTAAATTAATGAGACACATGAATAGCATATGCAATGGATTCCACTTAAATGGCTGAGAATTGGCCTCCAGGATGAACAGTGGTAATGGTGTTTGTGTAGAACTCCTTTGTTGTGCGTGCTGCACGCTTCAATTGTTGCACTGTTAATTCTCTGATCACAAGAAAAGACACACCCTGCTTACTGCTATGGAATAAATCACCCACTTAACATATTTTTTCTTTCCCATTTTTTTTAAACATGTGACCTCTAATGTTGTCTGTGTTGCTGTTGTAATAACAACCTGTTCTCATTCCCAGGGCATCAAATACAGCAGCCTGGTCAGTGGCCCTTGGCTTTTGTTAGCAATGCACAAGTCACGTTGCAGCATTTGTATAAGACACACTGGGCTTTCAACTAACGCCAATATACTGCAAAACTTAAATTAAAAGCCTAGTCCCAATTAAACACCCAGTCCCTTTTACTAGCCTGGTGTGGCTACACACTTTGACGAATAAACGCCAGTCTCAATTAGATCTGGTCTGGTTTTTGTATATAAGTTCTTTGAATGTATAAAACCAGGTTGTTGCCTACCTCAAATTATGTGTCTATTCCTCGATTACCCTGTGAGTTATTCATACTCCTTTAGTCCGTAAGGGTCCTCAGATCAAATGAATCAAAAGTCTGTTGGAGCTAGATCAAATTAATGATTTATAATTAATATATTATCCGAAGCCTAATTTTTAAACAAGTAATATTCATGCTGGTTCAAATAAACAATTTGATTGTTTTGTGTGAAAGGAATTAGGCCCACCCTATATAGACGCCCGTCCCAAATATAGGCCTGTTGATGGCAGTGATTTAAGCAAATAATAGCCTATTAATTGAAGTTTTACAGTAATCTTGTCTGTGGAAAGTAATGTGGTGTAAAGACAGAAAAAGGCCAGAGTGAAGGAAGGAGGGGAGGTGATTGATGGGTCAAACACACACAGGATTTTCACCCAGGAGGCAGGTGCTTGTGTATCATGTGAAACCAAAAGTCAACTTCTTTTTTTTTTTTATGCCACACGATATAGTGACTGGCATACGCACATGACGACTATGTCACATGGTGTACTTGTTAACACACTCTAACGAACTCAGTTATTTTGACCTAAACCATGATCATTTTTCTGAACCTAACCTATTAGATTTGTTGTCTACACCTAAAGAAGCTTTTGTGGCCAAATCTGCATTTCCTGTGAAGATGGAAGAAAGCCACTGTAGCATGTAACAACCATAAATTGGCACAGATACTTAAATGTCCAAAATGCTAGGAGGGTACCGGGAGCAACATAGATTGAAGCATAGGGCCACTGACCAAGCTGCTGTATTAGATGAGTTGAAAGGAGAACTACAGATGCACCGTATGCATTATTTTTTATCAGTTCCAATTTCTGATTTTTTGACTGATTTTTTTCCACTGCTGACTTTAGATTTTCTTTTTTCCCAAGAACTATAATCAAACATCTTTGGAACTTTTCTCTAAAGCCACTGGAAACTTGAAATAGCATGAAATAGTAAAAATGCATATATGAAATCAAAGATGAGTGTCTCATTAAGCAACCACAGAAATCTGAAAAAAATGTATGTTCATAAATATTAGAAATCCTAGTTCAGAAACAGTTCATTTGGCTGCTCAAACCATTTATTAGGACTGTCGGGGCGTGATCAATGCATGCTTGATTGACAGCTCCATGTCAGCTCAAGTATTATTACCATTTTATTTGATTTTAAAACCACCAGCATTAACAGGTTTTGCTGCTGCTGAATAAACCACCAAATCTATCTAATGAACCCTACTTGGTAAGAAAGCTAACTAGACTAACTAGCAAACTCGGCTGGACCATCCAACTGTGTTTTTATTTAACTATACCTCCCCAAATCTGGCACTAATCATTGTAGCATTTTCCTTTCACTTACATGAAATGGTTAGTATTAGCTTTTTGATGTTAAACTTTTAAACTCATTATCAAGTACCCCAGTAGCCCGTTATTGACATTGACTATTCAGCTAACTAGCAGACCAAGGTAGACCGGCTATATTTTTGTTTTATTGAATTATATATCCCAGACTAAGAAGCTAAGTATAACCCACTTCCATGAAATGGTTGGCTTTAGCTTTGCTAAGCTACACCTTTGAGCTGAACATGTGCAGCATGGGAATGAATTACAACTTTTGAGAGCGGGTTGTAGCAGCTCTGATTTCCTGTTTACTGTTTATGCTGTCTATGGGACGTGAATCATCATGTGGGGCATGCATGTACATTTGATCAGCACAGGACTGGGTATATCTGAGACTGACCAGCCGGTCACCGGTCATGCCTGATCAAGCTGAAAATTGGCTGATTCCTGTCACCAGCCAATCGATCGATGCATCTCTAGTGAGAACGTGTTGTTAATACAAATCAGTTCATTGCCCGGCTGAGAAAACACCTCTGCGTTATTTCTACAAGAACACAAATCCATCAAGTTCACTTATGTAAGAATATATCTGTGTATACTCAGTGGGTTTAATAACAAATGTAGTTATTAGAAGATCATTAAGAAAATTAAGTATGTGTAAGAAAAAAGCGGTCTCAAAGTAGAGCTCAAAACATCCGTTTTCTTTTCTAATCTGTGCTTTTTTTCCTCTATTTTGCACCAAATTCTGCTTATAAAATTACAGGGTTGACGTAATTTCAGTGAGTTGTTTGCAGCTAAAGCAGGTGAGTTAGATCAACCTAGAGAGCATATTTGAGTGGACTGAAGAGCGGATTTAATGGAGGCTGGATGGATGCACTTGAAAATAACAAATGGCTACAGAAGGGTAGCTGTTTTTTAATTTTATTTTAAAACCCAAGAGCGATTCATTGGGCATAGCATTAAACTAAATGACCTGTTGATTTGTACAAACATTCCCATTTGGCAGCTGCCCAGCGGAAAATAATGAAAGTACTAACATATTGAAAAATTCTATAAAGATTGATGAAAAGACACTTCCTTCTAAAGGAGCGCTTCAACATGTGTGGCAGTATTGGAGAGCAAACATTGTTGTTAATGAAGCTCTCCTTGAGCAGACAATGGAGAGAAACATAATCCCCCTTGACGATTACGAAGAAAGGAGCTATTGTGCAAAGGCACACATCGTCTTACCATTCAAAATCATGAGCCCGACAAATACAGGACTCAGCTGAGAGGATTCTTGAATAGTCCTTTCCCAGCATGCAGTAGTTCCCAGGCCTGCGCTTCATGTATATCTGTTTCTGTCCCATAACGCATGGCTCACCCTGTTGGCACAACAAGCACCACTATTAATGTAACTGATATTTATTTTAATGTCACGAGCTTTAACACAGTCAGTGGCACTAGTTTATGTATGTGTTTATGTTTCTTACCTGGTTGTGCAGGTGCCAGGTTTGATAGTCTTCCTCTGTGCACTTCCTGCTAAAGATGGATTTGTAGTCTATCTTGATGAGTTGCCATTCAGAGCGGTGGCTGAAGTGTCCAAAAAAGCTGCAGAGGCAAATTATACAAATACTTAAAATCATAAGCAATGGATTTATGTCAGTGTATCAAAGCATTAAAATAATGTGACAAAGCTCTGTTTATTTAGGGAAAATTGAGTTTGGTACATTTTTGGTCCAACATTTATAGTTTTAATGATCATTTCTATTGAGTCTAACAATACTGTACTTGCCAAAGCAGCTGCTGAGATCTGTTAGGATGCAATCACTACAGCAAAGTCAGATGGAGCAAGAACCAAGCAGTGATGAAACAGGTTGGAAACAAGCCAACAGTTAAGCCCCGTTATCATAACCAGTGGTTCCCAACCTGGGGGTCTGGACCCCTCGAGGGGCCCCAAGGAAATCCTGAGCAGTCACAAGATATTTTCAGAAAAAAGAAACATTTTTGTTTCAGAAATGTATTTTTTTCTGACTAATCTCTAGTTTTACTTTTATGAAATACTGAATACTTCAACCCATTCTCATTCCATGGTGTAAGGGAAGGCAGCTCTATTTATAATGAAACAAAGAAGCAAGTTGTATTCTCAGTGCTTTTTTTTCTTTTACAAAAGAAAGGAACTTGAAAAGAACATCAAGCAAATGTCACTGAATGGCATACATTTAAAAAACATACATGAATACCCAAACACTCACACTACTGTTCATAGCTCTGAGTAAACAGATGGTTTACACATTAGCCCAAGGTTCTCGTGCATACATGCACACAAATACTGACGCTTTGTCACACCCCTTAGCAACTCATGGCAACATATTGATGTGACACATAGTGGAAACACAATGTAATGTGGTTAATGTTAATGTCACACACAGCAACAGAGCTACTTAATTAGGTTTATAAAAAAATATGTTTTGGGTTAGAACACACGTTTGTCACGTAACATGACAGAATTACGATACATGAGTGCAACTACTGTACATGAACTGTGTAATGATACATTCAAACAGCAGTGACTTTTGGTTTCACACTGAACATGAACTTTGTTCTCCTTTAATAAATGTCTGGTTTGGTTTGACCCATCCAGCCTTCCCACCCACACCTCTCTCACACTTTCTATTATGTCAGTTGCTCTCAGCGTCCACTATGACCACAGATGGGTTTACACTGGAGTTAGCTGAAAGCCCGGTGCATCTTTTAAAGATGTTAAAGGGTGCCTTTGGCATTGATATCACACATCAAGGAGCGTGACAAACCATCGATATTTGATGCCCCAGGGAAAGAATGAGTTTGATGATTCCACCTTTTAAAGTTACAGTGAAAATGAAGTTAGAGCATCTTTATCTTCTGTAATAACATGTGTACATGTGTACATTATGAAACTTGGAGCTACACTTCTTTTCTTGTGTTGCTTTCCGACGCCTTTCTCAAGTGTTTAAACCTTTGGAACCTGACCAAATTGGTGCGATTTCTTTCAAAAACATGGTAAAAAAGGCAATGAGCAACTTGGTAAGAAATGTCCCACAAATTGCAAAAAATAATAGATTTAGAAAATTATTTAAAAAAAAAAAAAAAAAAAAAACAGGGAAAAAAGAAAAAAGCTGGGGAAAAACTTTCTTTATAATGATTAGTATTACATATTTAAAATTATGGTACAGAATTATGATAATTTTTAAACACTTTTGCAGGTCTTTTCTTTGCTTGTTTGTTTTTAACTTTCTTTCTATTTTTGTTTTTAACTAAGTTTCTTTTTTTGAATTTTCTCTCTTAACTTTCTTGCAGTTTTTTTTAGTCATTTCTTGTTTGATTGCTCATTGCCTTCTTCCCGTGTTTCTGAAAGCAATCAGGCTAATTAAAGAAAGACGGTCTAAAATTTTGGTGTAAAAACACACAAAATATTTGACACATTTGTGTATGTAAGAGGAGACAAATGAACAACTAACACAGGTACACATTATTAATGTCAGTGTCTTTAAGGCCTCAAAACCCTTTTAACTTGAAGGGAATACTGCATCACTCTATGGTTGACTCACAACTAGGTCATAATCTGGGATGAAGGATCACAAGCTTTATTTTTAGGGCTCATAAGCCAAAAAGGCTGGAAACCACTGACACTATATTTGGAGGTGAAACTAAAAGTGAGCACACTCAAAATGTCTAGTAGTCGTAGCACAGGAAATCTGTGCACTTACAACTACTGCCAGTAAGGTATGGGTCAAAATAGAAACTGAACATTGGTCTGTAAACTGTGGTAGGTTTACAGAAGACAGATAAAGGAGATCATTTTTAATATTGCCTTCCTTTTTTCTTTCAAATAGGTTTAGTTAAGCTTGTGGTTTGTTTGAAACCTGTCTGGTCTTTAATGATTGAGATCTTTTAAGGGATGTCACTGAATTCCCAAATCTCAGCAATGAACTTCTTTCAATAATAACAAAATAAACCACAAAAATGGCACCAGAGTTGGAGTACACTGAGTTAATCCTTTAAAGGGCCTCAACACTTACCGATGTCACTCATCTTCTTACAATTAATGATAGATCTCACATGAACACACACACATCCTCTGTCAAAACTGTTTTGGTAATTTCACATTTGACAGTTCTGTTTTTGTTGTTGTTGTTTTTGTGCTCTTCTCACTGGCGGTGTCACATACTAATCACCTTGCGGCAATCATTTTTGGCAATATCTGAATCTAAATGAGATGACAGTTGGGGAGTGCTGTGTTCCCAGTCAATCCAACCCGATCGCCAGAAAAAAAAACGTTGGCATTATACGTTTCTGCGAACCCAGGATACATTACATTTGCACGTTAATATGTAGGAGATGCATTGAACCTTTTGGTCAACGTGTGGGTAGGTTAAGGCACAAGAACCATTTGGCAATATCATTTTTCTCAGTCATGTGCAATACTAGTTCTCATTGTTATATCAAATTCAATTAGGCGCAGTCTGTTTTTCCACCATTTTAGTTCATTTTTAGTAAACCTTGTACTTATTGTACTACTATTGTTACTTTTTGAGGCACTGTTTTTTGCTTTTGCTCCTTGAAATCTTGTATTTTTGTATATTTTGCTACATATTTAATACTCTATTGTTGAGTGACCCTGACTCTGGGAACCCACTGGTTGTGGTTGTGAATCATTAAAATTTTGGTTACCGTACTCAGTGTTACTGTTATTTAAAGCATTCTCTGGCACAAGAATTTCCTTCAGGATAAAGTTGTACTGAACTGAACTGAACTGAACTGAACTGAACTGAACTGAATGGTTGGGAGAAGATCATGATTTGGCTTTAAATACTTGGTTTTCTTGGCACTATCTCTGCTGGAAAAACAACTACGAGTCACCACAAAACACCCACGTTTGGTACCTGGAAAGCAGCAGGAAGTGACTAAAATTATAACTGGTTTTGTTGGTTGGTCTTGAACAGTCGTCACAGCTTGCCAGGCACCTCGCCTTGGTGACACACCATCCCCTCCACTTCCCATTGACAAAGTGAGCTCTATAATGATATGCATGAAACTTGCAAATGTAGCATATTTATGGTGTGCAGAAACACACAATGCCTATGTTTTCCTTTTGCAACTAGGCTGGTAAATCAAACCTCATTAAACCAAACCCACAGTATCCTGGTGCTAACTGTGTTTCAGGGGTTTTCAGGCTTCATGACAGCAGCCCTGTTAACGAGTGATTTCGTTTTGATCAAACCCATTTGTCAGGTGACCCAGTACGCACAAAGGTTTGACTAACAGCCTACATGACCCATTACCCGCCCTTCAGAAATGTGGCTTAATAAAGACTAAATACCACAGAGCTTTGAATGGACACCGTCTTTAAAGGTCCTTACTCCATCTGTCTTGCCTTTTTGCTGAGAACCCAGAGGGCTGAACAGAGGAGAGAAACACCACTCACCTTTCACTCAGCACATTATACCCTCTAAAAGGACAGAGAAATAAACACCTTTTAACACATCATTTGTCACCTTTTCAGATTCTCTGGACTTACGTCATGATTTGGTTCTCAGCCCCGGCCTCCACCAAGACTCCATCCACGAACAGGGGCACTGAGGAGAAGCTGTGTTGGGTCCACTGCCTCCCCTCGTCAAAGCTGACCCTGTGTATGTGTGTCAGAACGCATTCCCATCACAAACCCAGCAACAACGATGGCACGGAAACAGACGCTCTCTATTAGAGCCTGGTCATGGGGGGATTTAGGTGGGGATCAGAATGACTGGCTTGTCTCAACAGACGAGTCTCTGAGTCTCTGTGCAATTAGCTACTGTAGCTTTGGGTAAATATCAAAAGGCTGAGCATTAAAAGGATATTTAAGAGACGGCCTGTGCGGTTATCAAAGCAAAGATGCACAAAACGGCTTTCAGAGCACATGCCAAAAAGGGAAAGAGCAACTTCACTGGTCCTGGGTAAAGTCTACGGAGGGGTGAAAAAAACAAGACAAGAATAGAACTGTTTCATGTTCAACTACAAAACTGCAGAGGGAGAAGGAGACAGCAAAAAAAAAAAAAAAAAAAATTGGACAGCTTTCATCATCGAGGCCTGGGCTTTATTGATTCTGACAGCTTATCAACATCGGTGCTGAAGTGAGAACAACTAGGAGTACCTGAGTGTGACATGGGTTGAAACAGTGCTGAGGCCTGTGCTTGGAAGAAAGAAAATCCCCCCATGTTGCCTATAAAAACCCCCATTGCCTTGATTTAGCTAAAAGCACTGACAACAGAGAAAGCGTTGACATGCACTATTATGAGATTCAGACAGGGGAAGTGTTTAACTGAACACTGGCTGAGAAAGCAATACTGTTCCATAGCTGCTGTACAGTGGCTGTGGAGCTACACAGGCTTCTATCTATCTGTCATTTTTTTTCCACTTCCTCTACCATCACACTTAAATTGGTTGGGAGAAAAAAAACCAGCAGGCTACACTTCAGTGGCTCTAAAACTAATTTCAGAATTGTTGCAAAAGCGACTGGAGAACAGATCTGGTCTCACTTGGATTAGCCTGCACTGAGGCAAAGCGTAGGCACCCGATTTGGCAAGAGGAAGGCAATGTGTTAATGAAAACACTAAAAGGGGGGGCTCAGACGGCTGGCTGCTAATGATAAGTGGCTTGAAAAAAATCTCTCAAATTAGACCGTCTATGACGTTTTCTTTCTTGTTTTTTTTTTTCCCTAAGAGCCACAGTCAAAGTGCATCGCTAAATTGATCAAATGCCACATATAATATGTACATGGTCATTTTTTTCCTGGACCATAAGTGTTGAATGAACCTAAAAATAGCTGACGGAAATTGAAAAAGCAATTTAGGAAAGGAAGAGTGTCCAAAGAAGTTTCCTAAATGGACGTACCACAAGTGTCTGGTTGGCACAGATGGCTGTTTGACAGCGACGAGGGCCCCTCCTTTATCCAGAAACCACACATTATGCTCCTCTTCAAAAATCTGATGACACATGCAGAAATTCAACATTACAGTATTGATGCAAAAGGCAAAATATCACTTTCATAATTTACAAGAAACCCTGATATAAGCAATTGACCATTTGCTAAACCCCACCAATAAGACCTTAGCGACCATAAAGATTTCTTGAAATAGGAAAGAGGCATGCATACAAAGAGTATGGAGGGTGGTGTCTTTACTCATTGGCCACGTTTACATGCACACTAATACACTATTATTTCAAATATGGTAATAATCCTAATTTTACACAGGTCATTTAAACAGCATATTCTGTTTAGATATTCCAGATTAGGAATAAAAAAAATAGGAATTCCCTTTTTTATTTGAATGTAGCATTTTCTAATCACGACATGTGGAATATGCCAGTATTTTCTGGGTTTTAACAGCACTCTTTCGACATGTATACAGTGCATTCGGAATGTGCGTCTCAACTGGGGTTTTTACCCCAGTTTACAACACACAGCCTCTTGTCTTTTTTCGGTCATCTTTTTGCGTTGTCATGGATACACTGTACACAAACCAGCCGGCCAACAGTGTTGCAGGCTGTGGTAGAGATGCACCCCCCAAAAGAAAAGCCCAGATTACTGGTCGAAAAAAGAAACACAACTACTTTCAAACATTATGACAGAGTTGACTATGATCAAATTTTTGGATATGCCCATTTATCAAAACATCAACCTTTTCAAGCCTGTGTGTCAAAGGATAGACTTTAAAATCTTGTTACTTGTCTATAAAGCACTAAATGGTCTCGGGCCTAAATACATCTCTGATATACTTGTTATGAAGCATCCAGACCCCTCAGATCATCTGGAACAGGTTTACTCAGTGTTCCCAGGATCAAAACCAAACAAGGTGAAGCAGCCTTTAGTTTCTAAGCTCCCCACCTGTGGAACAAACTTCCAGAATATCTGAGGTCGGCTGAAACTGTCAACTCATTTAAATCAGGGCTTAAAACATTACTATTTACTGCAGCTTACCAGTGAACTAGATATGTAACTTATTGTAAGAATAATCTGTAGCTATTGTTTTTATATTTGTCTGCTGTTGCTTTTGCTTTGCTTTTTTTGCTGCACTGTTTTTAACTATTTATTGTCTTGCTTTTAGCTTTTGTTTTTAATGATCTCAAACACAATTTTATTGTTCCTTTCATGTTTTATTTTATTTTTTTTACTTTTTTCTCTTGTAAAGCACATTGAATTGCCTTGTGTATAAATGGTGCTATATAAATAAAATTGCCTTGCCTTGCCTTGCCTTCAAGAAGGAATGAAAGATTGAGGCTGTGTTTGCACAGTCAAATAACTCCACCACCAGTGAAAAACTTTTAAAAAATCCTATTTTGATGCAAAGAAGTGAAATGACAGACAACTCCAGCCATTTCACTTTTCCATATGTTAAAGTGATAAACAACGTCCTGAGGGATGTCAATCTTAATATGCATGTCTGCATGTAAATGGGAATATTAGTATAGCATTCATATTCATTAGCCAGGAATATATGTAGGAAAAAACTGAATATTTTGAGCATGTAAACACAGTAAGTGTCATACCTAGCAACAAATTAGTGAGTTTTGGGGCAGAACTTAATTCCATTTTCTTAAAGAGAGTCACCAGTATGTTTCAGTGAATGTGCTCTCATGTGGCTGTGGCTCTCTGGACTGACTGTGTTCAGTGAGAGGAGGAGAGCAGCATGTTCAGTCAACCAATCATCAGCCAGACAGAAACGCGACTAAACTGTGAATGTGCATGTCCAATTACTGCTCCCCATTGTTTGTATGGGGAACTCCTTCTCTCTTGTTTTTGTTTGAGATGTATAATTTGACTATTGAAGTTGAGTTTTTTCTCAAAAAAAGGTCACAAGAGTCAGTTTATCCCAGTGTCTGGATCCAACTAAAGCCCGGTTAAGACCAAAGAGTCACAACAAGACAAAACTGTTTAGAACGTTGCAGAGAAAAGTTGCAGCAGTGTGAACTCAAGACCCGACTCAAGCCGGCTGATGGCGTCACCTGCAACTCAGCTGGTCAAATCTCCGGTCAAAGCTCATGACCTGTTTCAACAGCCAGTCGGCTTGTAGTGAAGTCTGCTGGTCGAATCAAAACAGCCGCTGACTGCATATTTGCTTGCTGTGACAGGTGCTCCGTACCTACTGAGCCCTCTGTTTCTGTCCACTGGTATTTTACATTATTGTGGCGTATTTATTATGAATACAGGCCATCTGATGCTTGTTTTGTTTATGTTTATTGCTGTTTCATCACTACTACAAATGCAACTGTAGCCTGTATCTTACCATCACTATCCTCATTCATATTTAAAGAAGCTACAAACTATTCAGGCACAAAATAAGCTTGAAAAGCTGGAAATCAGAGCAGAAGTACAGAGAGTTGTTGCATAGAGATGATGACCATGTCATCTAGTTGCATTGGTGTGAACCTGCAGGTTTTAGAACGTTGCAGAACAGCGCATAGCAAGTAATTGCCTGTTTCAAGTCATCTCATCCTGAGTCTTCGGTCTGAGCTGGGCTTTACACTTGAGTTCCACAGTCTGCGCATCAGTTTTCATAAACAGTCACTGATCGGGAAGGTTGTGACAAAGGGATGGTTGTAACACCACTGCTTTCACCAAGACGGGATGACCTAAGAGTCAGATAATACATTTAATGCATGACCACTTCCTTTGTGGTCTTGCATGTGAAATTGCACAGCTGTGTGAAGAGGTGAGCATATGATACAGCCAATACACTGATCTAAAAGTATGACAGTAATTTTTTGGACTGATTAGTAGTGATACAGTTGAAGTTAGAATTTTTCAACTTGTATTAAATTCAGACAGCATAAGTAAAACGTGAGGTATTTCATTGGGCTTGTTGTAACACCTTTTTAAAAAGTGTTACAAGAAACCCCAATTACAACTAAACACATTGTATCTACCTATCTCACTGCTTTTTTTTTTTTTAGCATGCCAGCAGAGTTGGTGAGAAAAACTGATGTACTGATGTACTAAAATCAGCATTGGATAAGGTGAGGCAGGGAGAGACAGTGAGGTCTGTCCCCAAAGAATACTCTATCTGCCAGGTGACATTAGCAAGCTTGACAGGTGTTGCAACAGTAACAAGGGAGGTGGAGCTTAGCAAAGTGTCAGCTAGGTTACATAACAATACATATACATTCGGAGAGCCAATGGCTGTTCTGTCAACGTGTCAAACTGTTGTGCAAGTCTGTCAGTTGGCTTGATCCGGGTGTGAAGCTCACCTGTCTCCAGCTATTGCCAGCGTCAGATGATATGTACATGCCAACGTTGTTGTACGACAGCTCTGCTCCAATATTTCCTGCAGTGGAAATGCCAACAGAATATGTAACACAACAAAACTGCAGATCACACAGATAAAGGGCCATGTGTTTTAAATACATTCTGCCAATCACACAACGTCTGTGATTAATCCATTCCTCTGGCTCGAGTCCCAGACCAGCGTTCTGTCTCCTATTCATGTGAATAATACAGAGGAGACCCCAGGGTTAATTCTTATGGATGCCTGCATCATTCAGGCAACATAATGTGAGATGTGGAGGAGGGCGGGTGCCTACTTCGCTCTGGCAGTTTGCAGTGTTACAACACAATGCCTCCAAAGCTTTTTCCCTGCGAGTGTGCAGCGAGTGAACTGACTTCTGCCGTTGATCTGCTCTACTATCTTGGCCTCGGCTCAGTAAATAGGCATGTGTTTGATCTGGATGGTGTTTGTCATGTTGGTGAGATGATCTCTGCACCAGCTGACGTCTTAAAAGGCGCAGCGGGCAAAGTGAATCACGGTGCCAAAGCAAAGGCTCGGCCAGCAACACACAGACACACAAAGACACACTGTGCAAGCACAGAAGCCGAGATGTATGTTTATTCAGCATTCTCACACACCAAAGACAAAACAGACGGATCCAAAGACAAACACACACTCACGCATGAACATACACACACACACACACACACACAGAGCAAAAGGCAGACTTCTTTCGGCTAACACCGCCATTGGTGCTAACACATCTATTTTGTCTTAACTCATCTCTCTTTCTTTGCCTCAACTCTTTTAAATGCTCTTACACTCGCAGGCACACAGACACCGCCTTTTCTCACATATGCATAATTGGCTGCGTGATGTGACATCAAAACAGATGGACATGTGAGCCACACCATATTTGCTTGTGGAAGAAGTGGAGATCCTGCAGTGCAGTGTGCCCAGTGAAGCTCAAAGAATCACTGAGATAGACGTTTAAGGGGGAGGACACAGAGGGGTCATATCAGTGCTGCATTAAATAGTCTACCTGACTGGAAGGATCACAGTGCAACTCTTCATCCATATTACCTTACTTTCATCATTTCAAATAGAAGTCTGTGCTCAGAATAATATGTTTGTTTTTTCCCAAAAGAAGAAATTAATCACAAACAAGTTGCTGTAGCATAAATAAGTATCATTCTACAATTTATCAAAGTGGGTTTACTTTGCGTTTGTGTTGAGTGTTTTGTCTTACCCGTGGCGACTATGATCCCTGGTGCAGAGCTCTTGGTGGAGATAGTTCCAGACAAGTAAGGGTTCTCTGATGTTTGCAGTTGGAGATGGAGTGAGCAGAAAGGCTGCAGGAGAAGAATAAACATGGAAAGTTAAACGGAAAGGAATAGACTGACATGGGTGTCAAAATAGTTTATATTCATGTGAAAGCCCCCTTTACACCTTGCATTATAAGGCATTTTGGGTGATTGGATTGCTGTCAGATAGTGCTTGATCACATTAAGGTACAGGTGCAAATGCACCCAAAACACACTGAGGACTAGAGTTGGATCCATTTAATGTTTTGCCGGTCTGGTCTGGTGTGCGAGCTTAAACCACTGTGCCAAATTCAACTTTATGCATTAAATGGACTACACTAGCGCCTTTCTAGTCTTCTGACCACTCAAAGTGCTTTTACACTACATGTCACATTCACCCATTCACACACACAGTTACATAATGGTGGCCATGGCTACCATACAAGGTGCCACCTGCTACTCAGTACATTCACACACTCTCCACATCAAAGGAACAACCACTGTGAGCAATTTGGGATCTTGACAAAGGATACTTCAATCTGCCGATAAGTGGACGACCTGCTCTATCGCTGATCCACAGCATTAGTAGTACGCAGTATGACAACATGATGACTATTATGTTTAAATGGACTAATGTAGCAGCTAGTGTCAGACAGGCCTTGAGCCGAGCACGTCAATGTGAAGGAGATATAATTCTAGTTGTGGTTGGAGGGGGGACACATGGCGCACGCTGTGTTTGTTTACAAGAAAGTTCATGTGTTTTTTGGGTGACGAGATGAGACATGGTGGAGTTAGTCTCAAGAAAACTAAAACTGCGCCAATATTTTTGACATTTTGGATCTGAAGCCGACTAAAGAGGTGTCCTAACTGCCCACGAGCGACGCCGTGCACCACCGCCGAGCTGAACTTTTGTTGGAAGTCCTGTTTCTATTTTTAGGCTATCTTCATTTTACTACAAATCCTCAATAAGGTTGCAACTGGCTGGAGGGAGATCGCCTAAGAGATAGACATTTCTGTTAAGGTAAGTGACCATAATGCATGTCATTTCCAGTAGGCTATGTAGTACAATATAAAAAGTGTGTTTGTGGTTCATAAAAAATCTACAAATGTAGGAAGACAGCAAGTGCTCACACATTTTTAAGTGTCTCCAGTCTTATCCCAAGAACAGTTTATATTTATGAGGTGTGTATACATGATTTAACATAAGTACATTTTTGTCAAACTCAGTGTGGACACAGAGCTCCTATGTAAGGAAATGCAATGCAACACTTGTTTGCTGTTGGGACACTGTGTCATAACGTTCCACTCAGGAGCTGCTGCTGAGTAAAGTGCGCAAAATTCTGGTGGTTGGCTTTGCATTTAACATAATTTGATACTTATTACACCAGCTCACCCTGCTGAGGGTGGATTGTGATCTGATCAGCCAAGCCACCTCTTGAGGTGGTCAGGGACGTATTGTGACCACTGGAACATAGGTGTAAATGCAACTGCATTTTCAATCCACATACAACAACAATGTGGGCAGAAATACATAAAAGCGTACAACTGTCGAGGCAGCAGCAGCAGCAGCTTTCCCTCACCTGATGCACGCTCGTCTCTCTCTCATCTGATGCTGACACTGATCTGATGCTGACAGTACTGCGGTGCTTCCCTCATTTGTAATGTATTCCTGTTGATCACTGTCTTTACAGTCAGGTAGGCCTGTTTTATCCTCATCGACCTTGCTGTTCTTGGTTACAGGCTTTGACGAATATAACAAAGAAAACTATGGACATAGGTATTTGTTGGATTTTTTATGCCAATATTGTCTCTGAAAATGCAGACAATATCATGATGTAAAAACAATGTAACTGTATTACTATAATATATATTTTAATTCATTAAAACGATTTATTTTGGAAATTTCTATCATAATAGTTGTTTAAAGGTAGGGCCTGTTTGAGCTGCGTGGTTCTTTGAGCTAGACGGAGCGACTGGATCTCAGTGTTGACACTGGAGACACATTAATACCAGGTTGGTATTAAAAAATGTAATAAACATATCTTTATACAATCTGGATACAAGACGCATTTTAATGTAAGGTGTAAAGAGGGTCTGTGATGGTGGTGATCTATTATTTTGGATTGTATTTACAGTAAACATGAGATAAATCAATCTTATTCTCACTGTGAAGTTCATAAATGATAGGGTCAGAACAGAACTGTGGAACAAAAACAAAACCATCACAAAACAAGCCAGATTCATTAGTCTCCCAAAGAGAACCAACTGTGCCTTCATACATTTTGCTAATTGCATTTAATCTGTCATTAATACAAAGAGCGATGGAATTTGCATTAAAGTATGAAGCCAAGTCTCTAGGGCATGCACACAACAGAAGACAATTACATTTGTTCACAGAGCAGAAAAAAAACGTGTCTGCTTTCATCTCTGCAGCAGACAGCGTGTCACTGGTGTAAGGACATCAAGGGCAGTGGGACTGAACAGGGTAATCAAAAGGAATCTACGGCAGTAATTAAAATGTCACATGAATGTGCAATCACAGGGAACCTGTAAGCCACACCGCACAGCCCCGAAATCACCTCTTAAACAGCACGAAGTCCTCCTAATGTCTCAAACATGATTCCTCCTAACAGTCACGCTGTTAGTTTTAGTCGCAGGGAGGCTGTCTAATGAGGAACGAGACGCTGTCAACACATGCAGTGTCTCTGGATCTGCCAGTGTAGCACCTGATCTGACTTATTTATGAAGCACAATTTACAATATCCAAAGTATTTATCATTTAAAAACACCTATATTAAACTCCAGCATTGGGTTTGCCACAGTATGTTGCAGTAAAAGGCAAAGCTGACGTTAAAATGTGTCTACTCCTTTTTAGATTGGCTTGTTTTTTCCATGCAGCTTTTTGTGTTTGTGAAGTTATGTATGTGAAGAGGTAAATTGCATTTCAAATTCAGTACCACTTCTTAATAAGGCACCCTACATAGGCTTTTTAATGGCTATTAAATTATTTACTGATGCTTTCTGGAGCAGTTACGGGCCATTAATAAAAACATCTTTCCATTTGCCGATAAGTTAAAAAAAGAAAAATGTTAACGGCTAGTGTGTATCCCATTGTTAATTTATTTTTTTACCAGATGCCCTGCAGCTCTTTCCCAGATGTCAATGGTAGCACAGCTCATATAAGAAAGCACAAGACCTAACATTTTCAGTCCAGACTTCTTATTAATAAGACAAACACAATCCCTGTATATATTTACATAGAAAGGTTCACTCTACACTTCATTTAGTTGTGCATAATATTAGCGTATTTGTCACTCTGTGCCAGACATTGTCACAGCAGGAGCCCAATTGCTTTATTTATATATGTATTTTTGCTACACTACTCATATGCTGCCTTAATGTTCAGGGAATTACAAATGCCACTGACGATACAAAGAAAACATTTCCTACATGTTCTTGCAATAGATGTTTTAGAACAAGGGCAGTATGTGTGCTGTTAAATGGATACTTTGCCCATTTTCAACCAGCTTTGTGTCATAACAATGTGGGCCGTATGTGTAAATGAAATGTGGTAAACTTCTCTCCATCTGACCAGATATGCCGATCTTTCAGTGCTGGCTCTGGAGCTGTAGTTCAAACTACAGATTGTACTTCTACACTTTCATATACCTGCCACCACTGACATGAAAAGTATAGAAGTAGATCAGCAGTGTCTCGCTATTTTCTCTCAAAGGTACACCAAACTCTTATCAAACGGTGCAACTAATCACGACTTTTCTGTTACGGAGTTGCTTATTCCTGGCCTCAAATGTTTTCAGAAACATATTTTAGCTAACTTTTTAACTGTAATTCAACACCATTTGTTAGCAGGCGGCAGTCATATTCTGTGCGTTCCAGTACTCATACCACCATACTATATAGTATGCCAGAAAAATATTCAGTATGTCAAAATACATAGTATGTCAAATGCAGTATGCCAAAAATACCAGGACGTTCTACTACAATTTTGCATTTTGCAATATGAAAGCCAGCTTGCTTTGCTGACTATTCTGACCCACAATCCTCAGCGCAGCTGACGATACGTCACATTGACTGAGCCGCAAAGAGATGACAGCTTTAAAGCTGTTTGACAGCTGTCAGAAGTCACAATGACGGATGACAGCTTATGTAAGTAACTGATGACCAGTCGAACAGTAATAATAGGAATATTGATTGATTAAGTGAACAAAATAATCAGAAATATTACAAACAACAAAAGGAAATGTTTATGAAAATAACAGTGGCACAGTAACTTCGAACTCCGTGAGTGCCGTTTGTTTTATTTCCAAGGTAACGGATATAAAAGCAAGAGGTTTAAAGTTCAGGGCGTAATGTTATGAGACAGTAGTATGTCCCGATTGTGTACATATTGCACGTAGCAGTATGTACTTTCTAAGGGCAGCTGCAGTACCTTCTAAAAGTAAAAAGAAAAAGTATGCATTTTGGAATGCACCCATTGTTTCCTGTGGAAAAACAGCCATGGTCACAATACGTCACCTACCAGCAGAATCGTTTATTGGTCTGGTGTGCCACAGTATATTCTGGTAGTTGTAGGTTTTCTACCTCTTGAGCAAAAGCAAATGCCACAGCTGAGAAACCAAAAGGACCAAACCTGGTAACCAATAATCCCTTCTCCCTTCTCAACAAGAGAAGCAGAAGAAGCTTCTGAGCCACAGTAAACGCACAGTATCTTACCAGTATGCAGTGAATGTCGTTTCCTTCCAGGTCAGTAGCCGGAGCCTGCAGCAGCCTCCAGTCCCGGCCTTTATTGTAGGTCATGTACGTCTTGACCTGGTTGTCTTGCCTCTTGTTAGCAATCAGCATCCCTTTAATTCCCGCCACCTGACAGACACAGATACATAACACTTAGAATCTCGTCTTTATGCAAACCAGCAAGGTGTGTTTTATATTTACCTCTCCCATAACAGTTTAGTCCTCCACTACAGATGAAAAAGCATACCCAGTGCTCCCATCAGAAAGCGTATTTTGTGTATTGAGGCAGCAATCTTCACAATACAAGCTCAGTTAAATGCAAATGGTGTGCTTATCCTTTCTTGCTGCGGCTGACAGTCTGGCAGACACCATCAGCGGTGTCGGCTGCATTTTCTTATTCTGTGCTAAGTGCTATCTGTAATTATATCCTTACACGTCTCAGTAATCCAGACAGTATAAAATGATGACCGCTGAGAAGTGACACGTTGTCTGTTTTCTCACAGTCAGTCTGAATCTCCCCAAACACACACAAGCGTACATGAGAACACACTCGTACAGACACACGTCTCTCTTCCGTAATCCTCCCTGCTAGTTGAGTCTCAGGTTTTAGACACATCCCTCAACTAAACCAAAGCTTGATATGCAATGGGAAGGACTGAGTCACTCCAAATGGTTGCCATAGTGAGGGGCTCCATTCCCTCCCTGAAGGGAGCATGTCTGCGTAAGTGGCACTAATAGGCAGCACATTTGACATTGTCATAGAAACATGGCGCAGAGGATGGATGCGGCTAACGAGGGTCCTCCCGTCCTTATCCAACCCAACCTGTCAATCACTGCAGTTATTATTTATTGCCTCCACCTCCACTATCACATGTGCATGCACGCACACACACACACACACACACACACAAACACACACACCTGAACCACTTGTCAACACCAGCATACATTTCTCTCAATCCATCACTCACACCACCCACACTCCACTTTCTTGACAACGAAGTGAAGGACGCAGGCATAGATCTCTATTCTACAGCGGGGATTACTCTTTGCGGTGCAGCATTAAAGGAATACTTCCACAATTTGAGAAATGATTATTTGCCGCCTTTGTGCAGTCACGATTTAAAGCAGTTCTGCCGTTTGCTGCATGCCAAGTGAGTGGAAATGAAAAGAGGATAAAGCATAATGATTGTGCTGCGGCATGTGATTAGAGTCAGTGACGCAGGAGTCATAACTCTGCCCATAAGTAGTTAAAATTCTTTAATACATTTAATAAATCTATATATTTTTTAAACTTTTTTTTCCTCACAGCCCGTTTCGAGGCAGCAGACAATATACAGCAGCTCTGAAACTGTTACTACCGATGGCTCTGAACAACAACATCTCTATTTGCTGCGACTGTATAAAGCACCAGACTCTGTTGACTTAGTCCTATTATCATACAATAGGGATTTCTTAAATAACACAGAAGGTGGGTGACTTGATTGGTCAGCAGTTACTGCGCAGAGAAGCTGTGTGTGACCCTTTGTTTTGCAATTCAGGCAAATCTAAATATAGCTCATATACTGTATATGGAAAATAAAACGCAAATGTTGCAGTTTATTGCATCATCTCACATCAATATGTCAGTAGAAATTTATTTTACTGTAACTGTGAAGCAAATTCCTGTTATCTTTTCTTTTCTACCGTATGTGTGTGCATTGCTTTGGTTTCAGCTTTGGACACGTGTGTGGAATTAGACAAAATTGATCTGGGTATTTCAAAACACCAAGAGGAAGATGAAGTGTGCCAATACACATTGGAATATTTTTATTTTTAATAATGTAATAGCCCTCAATTATCACGGAGCTTTTACTCTTAGCCATCTGTTTGAGTACCTGGAATTAGATTTTTAGGCCACATCCTGCTGAGCATTTTTTTTTTTTTTTTTTACTCTTGGTAATTATTTATTTGCCCCTTATAAATCACCAATGAGTATAAGGGGCTCCAGAAGTGCTCTTGTTGCTGTTCTTTTTTTGTTTCTCTGCAAGGCTGATCACAAGCTGAAGCCCAAGCTGACATCTTTAATTTGCTTTTGTCAATACAACCTTATTTTAAAATTCAAATTCAATTTTTAATACAGAAAAGAGTGGAAACCAGAGAGGATTTCAGAGATTTTCTTTAATAAAAGACCGAACTCATTGATCAATTATCAGGATTGTTCTATTTCTTTATTAACAAGCAAATCCGGTGGGCCACAAACATTGTTAGACGTTGACATTTGGTTAAATTTAGGTTGTGGTGTCTTTAACACGAGTTGAGGAGAGGATTTCCCCTGTGGAAGAATACGACCATAATCATAAGTTTAGTGGCTTATCTAATATTTAGAGACAATAAAAAAATCAGAGTAGTGTCTTGGTTATAATGGGCTTCTTTACCAGGTGATCTGGGTCCTGTTTTTTTTAGTAAGAACGTTGGGTTGGCATGGCCGTTCACATGACCGTCCACATACAGTGGCTTGTTGTCAACCGGGACTGGACAACTGATGGTTAATACACAAATATTAAAATACAGATCATTTCTACATCAATACAACATAGAGACTACAACAAAAGTACATCCTTGGCAAACTGCTGCTCACTATAATGTGGAGTATTAGCATTTTACACTCCAGAATAGAGCTGGGCAGATATCTTCTTAGATTTTGGATATCAGGATATCCTAAGTGTTGTTTCCTGGTTTTAAAGGCTGCATTACAGTAAAGTGATGTCATCTTCTGAACTTTCCAGACTGTTCCAGCTGTTATATCATTTGTCTTTACCCACTCAGTCATTATATCCACATTACTGATGATTTTATATAAAAAATCTCATTGTGTTAATATTCTGTGAAAGTACCTATAGCCAACCCTACAATATGGTTGGAAGGTTGCAATATCAAAATCGAGGGTGACCAAAATTCAATGTCAGGACAAAGTCTAATGCCAATGTCAATTTAAGGTAGAGTACTGGCGACAGACGATGTTTACATTTTGTTGGTTTTGAGTTGTGCTGTTAAATAACCACAATTTAATGTCTTCCAAACCTCTCATGCCAATGTCATGTTGACATGGAACAAAATATAATGTCTTAACGTCCACACAACATGAAATTCTAACATCCTAAGACATATTGGCATCTTGATTTCCATTCCAACCAAAATAACATCTGATGCAAGAGTTTGATTCATTAATTCATTCATTTTCCATAACCGCTTATTTTGTTGGGGGTCGTGGGGGGCCTGGAGCCTATCCCAGCTGACAATGGCCGAGAGGCGGGGTACACCCTGGACAGGTCACCAGACTATAACAAGGCTGTCACATAGAGCCAGACAACCATTCACACTCACATTCACACCTACGGCCATTTTAGAGTCACCAATTAGCCTAACCCACATGTCTTTGGACTGTGGGAGGAAGCCGGAGTACCCGGAGTAAACCCACGCTCCCCCACCCCAGGCTTTGAACCCCTCACCCTGGATTCAAACCAGGAACTCTCTTGCTGTGAGGTGACAATGCTATCCACTGCACCACAGAAGAGTTTAATGTCTTCCTGATGTCAAATTGACAGTCAGTGCCAGCTGTGAAAGAGTTAACTATCCATTTCTGCTCCACTTTGCACCTAAAGCTGCATTATTTGTTGTATTTTTAGGCAACTCGGGGGCAATGGAACTGAAAATGCAGCAAAGGCATATTATAAAGCTGATATGGTGTACATTACCAAAGGGTTGCCTGTTTACCCATAGCACAAACAAAGAAACATTACCATTAATTAGGAGTCGTGTTTGTGTCCACTAGTGATCTGTAGATTGCAGTTATGTCCTCAGGCACTGTGGTAAATCGACAGATCAGGTAGGTCAGGTCATAAAATTATCATTTGGATTAATAGCAAATGGATTGTGTGTGGGTGAAATAATACATCATTAATGAGGAAAATATTAATGTCATTCTCTAAAATGCAGAGCTGCTGTGCTGCAGCAGAGACCCCATTAAGCGAGACACTGAGCATTTATGCACTAGAAACAGCGTAACTTCAATGATTATTTCAGGAGGTTTAGAGCTGTTTCCTCTGTCAAGTGTACAGTTTTTAGTTTTGTTGCTTAAATGTCCACCAATATTTGCTGCAGTGTCAATACTGTGCATGGAAACCTCAGCAATTACTATAAGCAGCTTCTGTAATCATTAAAATAAATGGATAAATGAAACACTCATACATCAATAAAATACATAATTTAAAAAGCAACATAGCCTACAGGGACAGTAAGGGGTAAGTGAAATGTCCATGCAAGTGCAGGTCTCTAAATCAGATGATGGCTGGGTGGTTGATGGATATTTATGCATACACTCCTGTCCAGATGACATCAAATCTCAATCCACAGCACAGAAAACATCCAGCTCTTTAGCTCTTTGTTTGTTGGTGACATTGGTTTGTAAGGTGAGTTTATGTCAAACCGAAACAATGAGCTAAATGATGCTAAAGCCCCGTTTCTACCAAACACTTTCAGTATGGTACTTTTGGAACCAAAAGTAACCCTTCAGACATGGTACCTAGACCCTAGCGTTTCCACCGCAAACAGTGCTCCTAAATGTGGGCAGGGTTGTTGTCACTCACTGCTCCGTCCAGCACTCACTGTATTTCCTCCTTTATCAGTCTGCACCTTGTTTATCATCCACAGAACGAGGCTGCACGCCAACATTTTCAGAACAAAATAGAACAGGCTGCAGTGAGAGTCTCTCTCCATGGGATATTTAAAAATAGTGGGTTGATGTATTTAGTCCTTCTCAGGCAAGCTCAGGGGTTTAGTGTTGCTGAAGCCCTTTTTTTTCTCTGAGTGAGGATTCGAATATATGCAGTTCACATAATCCAGTCGAAACGCTTGTAGTTATTACGAAAAATCATCCAAGTCATGATTTCATCCACAAGATCCAAGTCATCCAGAGAGACAGTCAAAACTAATGGTGTGGTCAAAGTTGACATACTGAAATTTCAGGTGTGCTGATTGATTCATGTCGTCACCTCATACATTGAGTAACATTACAAATTAACGTTCCACCTTAAAAGTCGCCAACAGTCAGCCCAGTGAATTGCATTATTTGTTGTATTTTTAGGCCACTCGGGGGCAATGGAACAAGCTGAAAATGCAGCAAAGGCATATTATAAAGTTGATAAGATGAACAGTGGTTACACGAGCCTCAAAATCAGCTGCAACTCAGTCCTGAGCAGAGTGACCGCTACTGACCAATCAACAGACTGCAATGTTCACAACTCCACCTTTTACTAGGTACCCCAACAGAGGGGGGACCAAAAATGGGGACGGTATGGGATGGTTCCATTGGTACCATCCACAACTTTTCACAGTGGAAACGGAAAGAAAGCGCACCGAACTGAACTGTACCATACTGCTCAGTGGAAATGGGGCCTAAAAGTGGCTAAAGAGGTCTTTAAAGCTGAAGGGACCTACAGACCTGTGTTTTAATTATTATATGAGTGGTTTGGTCACTACAACTGACCCCCCATTTAAATTACACATAGCAATTTGATGTATTGATGCTATTCAAAATACTGACAAGTGCAGCTTTCAAGTTATTCTGTATTTTACAAATTGTCACTGTATATTTCACTTTTAATATTTAAACAGATCTAGACAGACACCACATCAAAAACACTTAACAACTCAAGCTTTTCACTATCATCTGAAAGTACCTCATCCACCAGGTTGATGCTGTTCTGGTGCTAAGCAATTGGTCATTTAAGACTTGCTGATTTCCATGTGATCTAATGAGGAGTAGAGCCCGTGTGTCCATTTCGAAATGTATGGTAGATTAAGACATGTCTACCAATCTAGAAAAAGCACTGCTATTCAGTGAGAAGGAGCATCTGTACTAAACAGCAGGGATTTTGCAGTTATTTAATGTGAAACAATTTAACATTTTACAATTTATCATATGGCTCATTTGTTAGATCACAGCATTGTCGGTTTAAGCCTGCTGGCAGAAAAAAACTGAAAAATAAATAAATCAAAAACAACCATGAAGGGCCACATTATCACGAGTATAAGCATTATCCAGATCATCTAATACTCTTCACTGACAACAATCCACTTCAGGTCTCCAATCAATCATTCAGAGCTGTTTATAGCCAAGGAGAGAAAGAGATGAATGATTCCTAACACAGTGAGCCCGGGGCAATCAGAGCGATAATTGTCGGAGAGCCACCTGCTAAACCACCTCTCAGATTGGAGGGACGTTTAGCGGGTGATGTAGAGCCCTGATGTCAACAGAAAATTAGTTTGCACAACAAAGGCTCATGATTACAGAATTTGCCCTAATCCAATCTGATTGACAATAAAATCATCCTTCTAATTTGGAAGATAATTGTGCAATTTTCTGTGTGGAAATAGCGTAATTGATTTTAGGGAGGAGGATGCAAAGAGAAGAGAAGCTTTGTGGGAAGACACATGACTTCTAAGTAGGAGAACAAAACAACTTTCACTGCTTTTCTGTCTCCCCTCTGCTCTGACTGGAGCTGTGTCTTCTCTCTGGAACATTAGTTCTGTGAAGTGCAGTTTGTCAGGATCTAACAGCAATAAATGGGATGAGTTCCATAGCATATATCTTACCCTGTGTAATGGCTCTGATTTATCAGAGGCAACAGTGTATCATCTATCTCTTGTTTAGGTTCTGATCAAGAACGGAGCTGTGACCGTGTGACAAATGTAATTAAAACGGCTTATCATCGCATGCTGCATGGTGAAATGCCTTTACTGCCGCATGGTAATAGGAGGTGCACACACACTCAGAGCCACACACACATACCACATACTGTGCAGGAGAGGTAATGGCATTGTTAATTACCACACTGCTGCCACTGCTGCTGGCCAATATCTCACTTCCTTCACTCTCAGCCACACCTGCCAGTGTAGGAGTGATAAACTGGGTTCAGTAGGGAGTGGAGAATGAGGGAAATCTACTTCCCTGCTATGAATGCTAATGCAAACACATACAGTAGCTAGCCAGTAAGCTAACAAGGTCATTACAAGTCCAGAGGTGCAAGGCAATGAGCCCCATTAAGCATACTCTTTATACTGCATATGTCTGCTGCCAGGAAGATGGACGACGACAGCTTGTAATGCAAACCTAACCATGTGAGACAAGTAAGTGTAACACAAACTCCAAAGTCTGTGTATGCAAAGCAAACAATACAAACTGGGCAACTGCAGTCACTTTTGTCTTTACCATACATACAGGCTGTATACCGTCTGCCCAGTACCAAACATCAGACAACATCAGCAAATACTTGACCTAGCAGAGCATTCAGCACCTTAAAGCCAGATGTTTCTCTCAGGAAGTAGTGGGTGGAGGGAATATTGGACACAGTGCATTAGGTGCCATAAACATATCTAATGTTATGTTTACTAATGTCCGCTGAATATGTAAGTAGGTGATTGTTTGGTCACATGTTCATCACTGTAGCATGGTGATACTATACCAATGTTGTGTTTACATGATCAAAAATCAATTAATTCAAGTTTAAGTAGTGTAGTTCCGAGGTGTATAATGTTCATAAACATCAGCAGCTGCAACAGCATTGTCATCATTACCGTTATTGTCTTACTTCTAATATAAATAAAATAACCAAGCACCATAATGTTTGGGTTGAACCAAGCTGCTACCACCAGTGCTAAAAAAGTTAAGCCAATACAGAACTGTCAAAACTGCAGTTCCTCAAATGGCCACTTGAGGCTGCCTCGAAGAGTGAGTCAATCACTACAGACACTCATGCTAAAATGCCCAACTTTACAGCTGAAAATACACATGTTCACAGCCCGGCATAAAAACGTAATTTCAACATTTATAACGACTGTACGGGGGTGAATATTAAAATTAAAAACTTGGTTAAATCTCATTAAGACTTCAAGTTATGCATATATAAGGGTGAGGCTGCTCTGAGTGCCATTTATTGTGTTAGTTTGAATAAAACTGGACTTTTAAAATACATGTTAGTCCAACTGAAATGGTACTACATCGAATTTCTTAAAGTCGGACTAATGCACCAAGATAATGCGATTGAAAGTTGAATTACTCCTGCATCAGACCCAAACTGACCAAGGCACTCTGAGCATGCTCCACAGTTTTTGCCCCAGGCTTTGACCTGGAAGTCGAATAGCATTAAATGCGTATCATAAAAAGAAGCCAGTAACAACATGGCAAACGCTACATCCAGAGCTGTGCGCTTTTTGGACGTTTTTTTGTCTAATGTGACGTAATACATACCAGTAAATATGTGAATATATGGAAAACACTTACAGTGATTATGGTTACAGTGAGCAACCAAAAGAACCAAAAGAGTTATTTTACGGGTCAGTTTGCTAACAGCAGGTGGAAGATATGAGCCGTGTTGCTTTAAAGAAACGGTCCACTCATCATGAGCGGTGACAGTAGGCGCAGGTGGTTTTACTGATGTAAACACTACATCAACAGGCTCTCTGCTGCTAGGAGTGGCACTAAGGTTAGCTTGCTGCTCCCGACCTGCCATTAGTAATGTAGGATTTGACCTTCAAAGCTCTGTTGGGTCACCCTTTGACTCTGTTCATATTCTCTTTGTGTTGCCCTTTTGGAGCCAGGCCAACACTGTTGTAATGTGACATTATACCAGCGGGCGCAGCGTTACAGCATTTCGGCTGCTGGAGCTGATTGTGGCTCCTGACAGAGAAAAATAGGCTAGCGTCAACGGAAACAGGTAAGCATCATGTATGCCCCTTGGGTAATGAAGTTTATTCAGGGACTAGGGATGCACAATGATATCGGCACAGGCCAATATCAGCTTTAAAATGAACAAGTGACCAACATGGTTTTTCTCATTGTGCACAATAAAAGAATGTTGTATATATTGAAAGATTTTGTATTTCATGTCTCCATCTGCTGGTGGGCCATAACGGCAAGAGTATGTATTCCAAATATGATGTTAATTCTACTACAGAAGAGACTTGATCACTAAAATTATGTAGGGAAAATAAGCCGATACATCGATATGGGTATAAGCTATCGGCCAAAGAAGTCTTACATATCAGCATATTGGGAGTGGGCAAAAAAATCCAATATCATGCATCCCTGTTAGGGACATCATGAATTGCCCAGAGAACCTGATATGGGCAGAGAGAGTGGCAGCTTGTGAGAAGTGCAGGTGCACAAGAACAAGTTACAGTATATCAAAAGGTAAAATGTAGAGGTACCGGCCCATGTTAAGCTCTGAATTTCCCATAATGTAGCCTGCTAGCCTGCAAAATGCCCACATTCCAAATGCCCATGACTGCAGTTTGTGACCCAGACAGTCTGTCAAAAATTGGTAACCCGGTGACACCATCAGGAGTCTGATTCGCATAGCTCCTTCAGAGCCACTTCAGTCCTAAAACTAGTCCTCATGAACTAATCTTTCAATCCTGTGTTTTATTGTCCAATAAAATTTGGATCACATGTGGGCCTCGAAAATGTGAAATATTTGCTCCAGAGAAGAATACAACATTTTATAAGCTGCAAAATTCAGCAGCAGCGAGGCAACTGTTGGGTCACTGGTATCGATTGACAACCCTATTGATGCACCCCTCTGAGATACAGGTTATTTTGTGTAATGGGACATGAAAATCAAAATGTATTGCACATTTAACCACAAGCAATTGAAAAAAAAAAAAACATTCGCACTGCTGTTTGTGTGCTGCCACATGCATGAGACTGTACTTTATGGCAGATCTATAGTAAGAAAGTAATAGTCCCTGTAACTTCCTATAGATTCAATCAATGAAAACCTCACTCTATGTATCCCCCCCAGGGTGACCACTTTCATCAAGATACTACCTCATACAGGTCCAGCATCTGGTTCCCTCCGATGCCCCTAGTAGTCTTGACATTTTCCATGGCCAAGGTGAAGTAGATCCCTCTGGTGTCAGACAAGTAGAGGTTATAGGTGTCATTCTGGTTCCACTCCTGCACCGCGGCAAATACCTGCTTCTCATCAGTGCTGACAATGTGTAAATCCTATCAGGGAGCAGGGAAAGATTAAGAGGAGTTATGACTGGAAGCGGAAAGATGACGGATTAGAACATGCTGACCCTGTGGGACTGGTCATGAGATCAATGCTGCGGTGTGAATATAAATGCTTGACGACATACTGTAATGTATAGCTCACTCAGGGGCTCACTCTGAGTGTGGTACTACTACTAAAAGCAGGACTTTAAGAGGACAACATGCCAGATTTTCAGGGAAAACAGACGAATAAAAGTAAAGCTGGTGACATGCCTGTGGCTTAACGCATTTTTTAACCAATCTACATAAATTTTGTCATTGTAACAGTGTCAAATTCACAAGCTTGCAAGGCTAGGAATGGAAATACTTAATTGAGTCTATGATTAATTAACTCTGTGACACTCTTAAATTAAAACAGATTTGTATGAGTCATAGAAAGGAAGTAGTCAAAATACTTGCCAGGCTAATTTTGCTGCAACTTACCTTTGGCAGGGAATATTTGGGTAGCTTGATCTGTATGAACGAGTCTCTCTTGTAGGACACATAATAGGTGGCTCGCCCTGATGTAGGAACCTAAAACACATAAAGCATAATTAATTTCATACACTGGATATAAAGCAGGGTCGTAATAACCTATTTAACATTGGGGGACCCAACCCTCGAGGAGGGGATTCCCCCTAGACGATATTTTTCAGAAATTCAGCAGCTAATGTGGCCATTTTAGAGCATTTTGAAAAAAAATTTTTTTTGATCAGGGTCAATTTGTGATAACTGAGTGCCATTTTAGGGTTGAGGTGAGGCCCTGTTCATTCATATGAGTCTTGTTTAGAGGTACAGTACAGGCCAAAAGTTTGGACACACCTTCTCATTCAATGCGTTTTCTTTATTTTCATGACTATTTACATTGTAGATTCTCACTGAAGGCATCAAAACTATGAATGAACACATGTGGAGTTATGTACTTAACAAAAAAAGGTGAAATAACTGAAAACATGTTTTATATTCTAGTTTCTTCAAAATAGCCACCCTTTGCTCTGATTACTGCTTTGCACACTCTTGGCATTCTCTCGCTGAGCTTCAAGAGGTAGTCACCTGAAATGGTTTCCACTTCACAGGTGTGCCTTATCAGGGTTAATTAGTGGAATTTCTTGCTTTATCAATGGGGTTGGGACCATCAGTTGTGTTGTGCAGAAGTCAGGTTAATACACAGCCTACAGCCCTATTGGACAACTGTTAAAATTCATATTATGGCAAGAACCAATCAGCTAACTAAAGAAAAACGAGTGGCCATCATTACTTTAAGAAATGAAGGTCAGTCAGTCCGGAAAATTGCAAAAACTTTAAATGTGTCCCCAAGTGGAGTCGCAAAAACCATCAAGCGCTACAACCAAACTGGCACACATGAGGACCGACCCAGGAAAGGAAGACCAAGAGTCACCTCTGCTTCTGAGGATAAGTTCATCCGAGTCACCAGCCTCAGAAATCGCAAGTTAACAGCAGCTCAGATCAGAGACCAGATGAATGCCACACAGATTTCTAGCAGCAGACCCATCTCTAGAACAACTGTTAAGAGGAGACTGCGCGAATCAGGCCTTCATGGTCAAATAGCTGCTAGGAAACCACTGCTAAGGAGAGGCAACAAGCAGAAGAGATTTGTTTGGGCCAAGAAACACAAGGAATGGACATTAGACCAGTGGAAATCTGTGCTTTGGTCTGATGAGTCCAAATTTGAGATCTTTGGTTCCAACCGCCGTGTCTTTGTGAGACGCAGAAAAGGTGAACGGATGGATTCCACATGCCTGGTTCCCACTGTGAAGCATGGAGGAGGAGGTGTGATGGTGTGGGGGTGTTTTGCTGGTGACATTGTTGGGGATTTATTCAAAATTGAAGGCACACTGAACCAGCATGGCTACCACAGCATCCCGCAGCGACATGCCATCCCATCCGGTTTGCATTTAGTTGGACGATCATTTATTTTTCAACAGGACAATGACCCCAAACACACCTCCAGGCTGTGTAAGGGCTATTTGACCAAGAAGGAGAGTGATGGAGTGCTGCGGCAGATGACCTGGCCTCCACAGTCACCGGACCTGAACCCAATCGAGATGGTTTGGGGTGAGCTGGATCGCAGAGTGAAGGCAAAGGGGCCAACAAGTGCTAAACACCTCTGGGAACTCCTTCAAGACTGTTGGAAAACCATTTCAGGTGACTACCTCTTGAAGCTCATGGAGAGAATGCCAAGAGTGTGCAAAGCAGTAATCAGAGCAAAGGGTGGCTATTTTGAAGAAACTAGAATATAAAACATGTTTTCAGTTATTTCACCTTTTTTTGTTAAGTACATAACTCCACGTGTTCATTCATAGTTTTGATGCCTTCAGTGAGAATCTACAATGTAAATAGTCATGAAAATAAAGAAAACGCATTGAATGAGAAGGTGTGTCCAAACTTTTGGCCTGTACTGTACATGAAGCCAAAAACGCTTGATTTCCAGGGTATGGCATTTCCTGGATCTTGCACATTGTGCCCCAATAGAGCAAGACACTTTCTCACTCTGATCTCATCACATATCGACATATGGTCATGGACTTTCCACGTCTAGATGTGACTTGAAAGGCACCCGGGTGAATTGGTTGTTGACGTTCTGGGACACAGTGTCAAGTTCTGCCTGTTACATGAATTGTCTTCTTTCAAAATACGCTTCGGTTTTTACCGGTAATTTACCATTTACATACTGTCTCTCAAAATAAATGCACTGTGTCAATACAACAGCGCAAATTGATGTTTTTTTTTTCCCTCCAACAACAAAAGCACATGGCTAGGTTTAGGACAGAAGAACAGGGTTTGGCTTTATAATCTTATGGGCCGCGAACACTGCTCTTCTAGGTGTAAGTCTGCTCTTCTAGGTGTAAGTCTGGACCCATCCCACCTGCCCTACTTGGACTTTTGCCGCTGTGACTTTTGATCTTGCCCCTCTGTATTTTCCCCTGACATCGCCGAGCGCCATTAAACCATGACGACAACCAGCTGCATACCATGCTGATGTCAAAGGACAGGTTTTTTCGCTAGTGTTTGACGCTGCAAGTCACTGCCCAAGTACCGGATTTTGGTGACTTCGAAGTGAGACTGGGTTTGCACAGAAGACTTACAGCAGCCAAGCATGACCAAGTGGCTACCCTCTGCCAGCTGAGCATCTGACATCAGGTTCAGCCCTCCGCATGAATTGGAATAAAATCATGCTGCTCTTAGAGACTTTCCAAATCTTATCGGGCCAAGTGGATCAAATCCTGACAGTGGAACAAGCTGTTTCGGGGGGGTTTGTGAAGCTCAAAAAAAATCCACTGATTTACAAATGCCTCTTTTGGGGTCCCCATTGCATCACGTGACTGACCTGATTGTTGTAATTCCACTTCTGGCCTCTATGTAAAGTTGGCCTCAAGGCCAGGCACTGTTCCTGGGGGATTGGTACATACCCTATGACTGTTTCTCACATATCACACTATGATTTTTTATGACATTTCTATGGATATACTAACACTTAACAAAAACCATAACAGTCAACAGTGATATAGCATCCATGACACTCATATTACATTCTAGTTTTTTCACTTTTTAATACATTGGGAAGATAAGAAATAGAGACAGTACAGTGTTTGACAGTGATTTTACGTACTCCCAGCAGTCAAGCAAAGCCTTCTGCCAATGTACAGCAACACCACATGGACAAACCATACGCGGAACTGCAGAACACCTTAATACTAGAACAAGTAGTAATAATAATGGCAATTTGATAAGTTTATTGATGCTTATGATTTAATTTGCTAATGATGGTTGTGCATGGTTACTTGCAGTAGCAATGCATTTCTTTTTCTTTAGGCTATTTTGTTTTAACAATATATTGAGGGGGGAAATTTTGAGCATATTTGAAAGTTTGGGGGCTGTGAGTCTATATTATAATAACTGCCTAGTAAAGTACAGTTTTTTCCTCTAGTATCTGGAGTTTGCTTTTATTTGAGCTTTGTTTTAGCAACATTTTATTTCTCTTTCACTATTTCTCTTAGCCCTGTAGTGATGGAGCTGTGCTGCTGAACAAATACAGGGGGCACCTTGTATCAAGGCTTCATGTGTAACCTCATCACTGACACCATGTCATATTTTCTCCAATCAATTAAAGTGGTGGGTGAAAGCACACATCAATCTTTCTCTCTCTCTCTTTCTCTCCTTCTCTTTGTCCTGTTGGTTTTCAAGGCTCTGCTGGATACACAGGGTAATTTTTTTTTCTTTTTTTTTTTTCAGGGAGACTTGGTCATTTATAGCGATCGCCTGGCTTGCATTCAGAGGATGCTGCCCTCTCTAGGTGTCAATGCACTCGGTGGTTTCAAAGTGGACTTTGGTAAATATCTCGTAGGACAATCAATAGTCTCATTATTCTTTGTCAAGAGAAATCTTTAAGTTGCCTAACCAAGCCTCATCTGCAGGCTAAGAAAAAAAGAAGTCGTCCATAATGGTCTAGACCCTTTGCAAACACTTAAAGCTGTTAGCTGTTAGCTTATGCAGCAAGAAAACACGGGGCTGACGGGTGCTGGAGAACTGTCATTAGCCTTGAGGCCATGGGCGTCAAGCACTTTATACACATACACACACACATAGAGACATGGAGCAAAGTGAGACTGCAGGCCCTAAACTCCCTCCTATCAATAACAACATGAAATTCATTAGAGGAAAACCTTCGAACTAAACGTGTGGCTCTCTGCTGAAGAGAAGTGATATCAGTTTTAATGCTGTATGACAGGGCTGATTCTTTTACTGATCCTGTAAGTGCTCTGAATGGCTCAGAAGAGAGAAAACAAGCTCGGAGAGGAAATATAGCGGACTACCATTGAGCACTGCAGAACAAGTCCCACATGCAATCGAGGGAAGGAGCAGGAGATCGATGTTGGGGTAACCAGAGGCGGTTTGAACTTTAAGAGGAATTGGTATGATTGATTTTTTTTTCCCATCCCTTTCAGGATCTTTCGTCTGTGACGCATACGTGTTAAAATGTGGAGGTGCTAGAACTGAAGGGGAGGTTTAGGTTGAGTGGTTGTGAGTTTACTTGAAAGACTTCAGAGAGGTCAAACAGGATTGAAGGATCTTTGGAGAACAACTCTATTTCTTTGTCTAATGTGCTGCCAAGGCCAGTGAGGGTTTCGCAGGAAGGCCTTGCCTGTAGGTGGCTCAGGTAAGTGGGCTTCTGAACAATCCCTGTTCTCTACTGAATAAAACATTTAGTGGGATCAAACAGCTGGAAGAGCACTGTCACAAGTAATACTACAACTGCTGCTACTCACAATAATAACACAAGGCAGAATTTATTAGTTTAATGTTCTTAATATATCATTAATAGCACAAATATACATGTGCAGAGTACATTTGGTGCCGTAGGGTGATTCAGGTTTACAAGTTTTGCACAGGCTGATGTCAAACTATGAGATGCTTGATGGACTGTGGAGAGGTGAGGGGATCACAGTGTGGAGGATTTTATAAATGATGGGAGATCAGCTTGTTGTAACAGAGTCAGGGAAGGTTTTCGGAGGACATGGGTCACCTAACTATCTGAGGCAAGAGATTTATCCGAAGAACGTTGGAGGTGGTGCCAGCAGTTGCATGCTCTAACATGCGTTGGTATTCACGCAACCTTTGGAAAGAGTTATATTTCAAAGAGGTGAAGAGGTAAGAACAAAACTTTTATCCCTAAACACAGAAGCTGAAAACAACTTTTTAGGACATAAAGCACCACAACAATTGTTGGAGTTAAATTTGAATAAAACTGCAGTTGTTGTGGACTAGCCATGTAATTATGCTGACTTTTCCTGTTGACTTTTAAATGCATGAAACCTCATTTGCACAATGTCAAAGTAAATAATATTCATGCTGTAGAGGAAATTAAAACACAACCCATAAATTGCATCTGTGTTACTTGGAATTCAGGACATTACCATTTCAGATTTTTCTGTCGCACAAATCATGATTAATATGACACACTGGGCAGTGGATAGGATGAATATTAAAACTAGACTAGTTTCACAGAAAAAATAACAAAGCATAAATGTTCAGTTGAGGTTAAAGTAAAATGATTTTTTTTTACATATTTACTTTCTTCCAAGCCCAATCTGTCATATGAGAGATATTGTGCATGAAACCTTTGAAAACATATCTCTGTGATTGTGTGGCAGGAGAAGTAAAAATAGTAGTAAAGAATCAAAAAGATGGTCTAATGGTGGATCTGCTTTAGGAATATTTTGAATATAAATGTCAAATGACTGTGATGTCAAAGGGTTTTGTGCATACTCAAAAACAGAAAGATGCAGCCTTGAGAACTTTTAGCTTCATTGTTTTTGTCTTCTGGTCAAAGACGCAGCCTGTCCAGCAAGTCGTCGAAATCAGGTGCTTGGGCAGTGACTTGTGGCATCAGACGCCGATGAAAAAGCAATCTTTTAAGGTCTTGGGGACACGGTGTCCCAGGATTTCAACAACCAATGCACACGTGGTACCTTGCATATCATATTTGGATGTGGAAAGTCCATGATTAAACATCAATATGTGACAAGGTCGTAGTGACGATGTGTTGCCGACACACCAAAATCTACCTGACAAACACAAAACACCACAGTCAACAGAAACGTGTAGCTGGTGAGCATTGACAAACATCAGCAGACTAAGGGCTCTGATATGTGTCTGTGGCACATATCAGAGCCAAATGACCAAGTCATTGTTTTCCAAATCACAACTCAGTCTCAAGTCTTTGTTCTTAAGTTCCAAGTCAAGACAGGCAAGTCCAGAATACAGTTCCAAGACCTAAATTTTGAGTTTAGAGTCACAAACAAGTCATAATATGCTCTTCGCAGAGTGTAATGCCACAACAGAATAATTAATAAGAGAGTAATAATGTTAGCTAAGAGTTAGCTAGCTGACTATGTTACTATTAGCCTGGGCTTACTGTTCTTTGTGCAGCTTCACATGTCGAATGTAGTTGGAAGTTGTTGTGTGTCCGTCTTTAATTTTCGACTCCAATGTTTTGCATACTGCAAGTCATTTTTTGTTGACCAGAATTAACTTTCGTATCATTTTTTTCCAACTGGTGCTCAAAACCATAAAGTTAGTTCTTCATGGTTCTCTCCTGCAACTTGAGTGAATGCTATTAGACTGGTTCAAACAAAGTGGATCAGTGGACTGAAGTGTAAATTTGCTGGAAATGAATAGCTTTAATCTTAGTTAATCAGGGAAATGAAGGAAAATTAATTTTAAAATATCATCCTTTTTAATCTTTGGGTTTAGGGGGAAGGTGTCAAGTATGTTCAAATCAAAAGCCTTAAAGGGATAGTGCACCCAAAAATGAAAATTCAGCCATTATCTACTCACCCATATGCCAATGGAGGCTCAGGCTCAAGTTTTAGAGTCCTCACAACACTTGCGGAGATCCAAGGGGAGATGGGGTAGCAGCACAACTCCACCTAATGGAGGCTTACAGTGCCCCAGATTCAAACGTCCAAAAACACATAATTGAAACCACAAAATATCTCCATACTGCTCGTCCGTAGTGATCCAAGTGTCCTGTGTTTTTGGACGTTTGAATCTGAGGCGCTGTAAGCCTCCATTAGGTGGAGTTGTGCTGCTACCCCCTCTCCCCTTGGATCTCCGCAAGTGTTGTGAGGACTCTAAAACTTCGCCTGAGCCTCCATTGGCATATGGGTGAGTAGATAATGGCTGAATTTTCATTTTTGGGTGCACTATCTCTTTAAGTCCAAGTGGAGTCCCGAGTCATTGGTGTTAAAGTTCAAGTCAAGTTGAAAGTCTTTGATTTTGTTGAATCTAAAGTAGGGCTGTCAAAATTGCTAAAAAATGACGTTTGAATATTCCTTCTAAAAATAACTCATAGGTTCCATTCGAACCAACCATTCGAATTTTTTTTTTTTCGCTTTATGTATTAATACAAGAAAACATAACTACCTATAGGTATTTTTATTTCAACATACCTATAGATTAAAACACATAAAACAATTATCTATAACATTACGTTATAAACGACCGCGGACCTCTCGCTCGAAATTTGCTTTAAATTCGAATTTAGAATATTCGTTGACAACCCTAGTCTAAAGTCATCATTTGACTCGAATCCACACCTCTGCTGTTGAGCAGGCAGAGCAAATCAAGATATAAGTTAAGTGAATACTGGAATGAATTACTGGACTGGCGGTTTTCAGGTGGCCAGAAACCTGTCCAACAGGATGCTCATGTCATTCCATATCTGATGAACGATGAGGTAGACCGCTGGTTGTAAAAACATCAGCCAAAAAGCTAGTCATAGCTTGTGCTTATGTGACTTTTGTATTTTCTTTCGACCCCATTGTGATCATAAGCAGCTTAGAAAATCCTGAGATGTAACACAATATAGAATACACACCCACCTTTCATGAAACAATAGCTAAGCTTCTTATAGTGGCTCCTCAATATGTAAGACACATTTAACTGAGGATTGATAATGTTCCCATAGCATCATAGATCATGTACCAGGTAATAACTGACTGTTTAGAGCCCTACCTGTATGAATATGTAGTCATCTTGAACCACCAGTGAGCTGATGTCGATGTACCCAGGGAATGGGTAGTTCCTGTTCACCTCTGTGCACATCTGAGCTCTGCATGTGACATACTGCACATCTGTCATATGAAGGCACACAGAAAATATGAGACGTCTGTGACTGCAAGCAATATTTTATCTGCAACACGTGATATATTGAAAAAATCTTTGAATCCTTGCATTCTTTTCAACTATATAGATAATTAATATAGCGCTCCGATGATATTTCTGTGTGTTGAACTGTGTAGGGTTGTACTCCACCTGTCTACGCAGTGTGACATTTTCCCTGACTAGTTTACCTCCCTTTGTAGCACCTGATTTATTCTTATCCTGTATAGATACCACAAACAAGCATCTCGGGCTGTCAATCACACAGTGGTTATATGAGAAAAAAAGGATGCAACATCACAGGCGGGCATAAACAGTTTCACCTATGTCGCCTATGGAAGACCTACTGCCATTCAGAGTTATGGAGCTGACATTCAGCGAGTGAAAGGGAAGAGAAGAAAGGCCATATTAATCAGATATCATGCACTGGGTTTATTGGTGGGGCGAGTTGGTGCCGTTTCCCAGGGGATGCCTTCTTTTCCCCTGAGGAATTAGTTCCTATAGAGACCTGTTCATTATTCCTGTTTGATGTGTATGTGTGTGTAGGAGACACTCACTTCCATCTGGTGTGTGAGCCTCCATGTGGACCAGATCTGGCTCCTTGTCGAGGCCGGAGACAGACCTTGGAGAGAATGAAAGACCATCGTAGAATGGCAATGAAAAGAAAAGGATGTAAAGGAAAAAGAAAGGGAGGAAAAAAATACCAGAAAGTCATCAGCGTAGAGAAAGGATGGAAGAGGAAGAGAGCAAATGTACATTTTCTAAATATTGAAGCAACAGCAACTTGACACTAGTTCCCTTCCGGCGAAATGCGACAACACAAAGAAAGATACTCATCGCTGACTGGGTGGTGGAGGGTCACCGCACTCTCCGACTGTGAGGATCTCTGGGTAAAATCTTGCTCATTTTACTGCTTGTGGATTAGACCAGATGGAAACAGAGTTCCCATTGTGGTGATATTTCATATCCCTTGGAGGCTGATGAAGCCATTGTCTAAATGCAGCCAACTGGAGGCCTGCCTAGCCATTGCTAGAGGCCCATCCAGTGTTTAGATGTCCTTGAAGGGGCTTTGGTGGTGAAGGGCAAAGCCAGCGATGGATCCTGCACATTATTTAGGATTATATCACAGAAGTAGCTCCAGATTTATGCAAGTTAGTGTGGGCAGAGCCAACGGCAATCCCGGGCACACCCCAGTGACCTCAGAGAGGAGCAATGAGCTGGAATAGATCAGGACCTACATTTGTGATGAGTGTGCACTTTCAGACGTAGTAGGTACACTGCAGGGGGGGTGAGCAGCAGACGTGACTGGATGAGAAGTGACAGGGACGTCCCGGATCCATTATTAGTCATAGCTCGTCATACTGTATGTTAGCTTCTGTATCTGCATGTTTGCGTCTGTAGAAAAGCCACCTCTCTCCTCTGTCTATTACTGATGTAGAAAAACAAAAACAATATTTAAATATTTATGTGCAATATGCCTGATATGAGTGGAACGTGTGTGAGAAATGAAGTGGAATGCGACATGCCCTCGGCCACTGAATGCAAAGTGTGTTCTGAAGGAGGAGATTAATCTTTGCCTGATTGTATCAAGGGGTAGATAATGTGCAGAGTTTCAGCAGCATCACCAGTCAGTCACACACCTTGTTCTAAGCCATCAATATCACTTGCTCAGTCGCGCAGAACATGAGCAACAGTTTCTGCATTCCTGAGTAAACAAAACTTTGCAGAAGAGGAGTGGAGCAGACTAATAGATGTGAGATGCGGGATGACTCACCAGTAGAATCTGTTCGGCGTGACGTGTTCGTGGATGAGTTGCCATTTTCTTCCAAAGTCCACCGAGCTGTACAGCTGTGGGGAAAAAAAAAAGTGGGTCCTGTTAGCAAGATGAATGCATGTTTCCGCGCTGGTCTAGCTTCTAATTAGACTGGCTGATTTAAAAGTCGTAACAGTGACGAGCAGGCTTGAGACATGGCTGGATAATTCCAGGGTGGAGGTTAGTTTGGAGCTATAAAGCATTATCTGGAGATAGGCTGACATAGCGCTGAGCTGCTATCATCATTACCAACTGGCCATTTAAGCTAACATATTGTCACAGATATAGGCATCTCTAATCCCCTGTCCCCTTACGATTTACAACTATGGGTTTAGACAAAGCACATAATGGGAATAATACATTAAAACTGAAATAGATATGACATTTATGCGGCCCCTTTTAGCCTGATCAGCAAATAATTTGGTTTGATTCAGTAGGTTTTAGTCCGCTGTTGTGTTGAAAACAAATGTTGAATATAAAACATTCAAGGTCCTGCAGAATGAGTGCACATGAATGCAAGGAATGATGTATGGCTCGGCTGACGCCAAGGTGTACAGTGTGAAGCCAGTGGCCCACTTTCAATGTATTAATTACATTTTCTGGTGCTCGGGCAAACAATTAATAACCCGGGTGCATTTCCCAACACTGTATTGATTGATGTGGTAGACACAGCTCCCCTTATATCTTGCTGTGTCTGTGCATTGTTGTTTCCTCGCAGCACTGTGAGTCGGTGGCCCCAGTTGAGCTCTATGCTAATGTTCCTACTTGTTGCCTTTTATCGTAGCAAATCTGACACTAACTCAGACAAAAGGATCCACATTAGTCACACTGCTGCAAATTTATTTGTCAGCTTCGCAAGGGGGAAAATCCATCTATGTCAGCAGGTGTGTTTTCCATTTAAAAATTACAGTTTACCGGTTGTCTCACAACATGTACGGCACTCTGGCTGTACAGATTGTGGCAATAATCTGATTCTAATTTGAAAATTGCCGTGATTATTTGGATTTCACATATTGATGTCAAGCTCTATTATGTGTTTATTCCATCAAATTTTCATTGCTTGAAGGCCATGTTTTCCATTGGCGCATTATGAGGCAATGGGCACCTGGGCACAGATATGAAAAAGGCCCCACCACCTCTCCTACAAGGGGGCAAGACACAAAGACTTTGTGGTGGTTTTGTCTCTTTTATTACTGTTCTTTGCACCTTTTTGTACTCATTATGCATCTTTTTTGTGGTTTTGTCTCTCTTTCTGGTAATTTTGATAGTCTTATATGGTCATTTTGAGTCTCTTCCTGATTTGTATGATTTAATTTGGGTGACATTTTGCCGGTGAAGGCCAGGGGGGTCCCCTGGGCCTTTGCCCAGTTGGCTCGTTCAGTAATCTATCCCTGCATGTGTTTGCTGCAAGTGCTTGCCACCGATGACAGTAATGGCAGGAGACCCAAGCATCTATCTTATCGCCCTTTCCACCGTCAGTTATGGCCGTGCCAAGCCATGCTGTGCCAATTTGTGTTTCCATTATCCATAAACATGCACTGTGCCATGCCAAGCTGTGCCAGAGATGGACCATCTTTGGAGTAGGTCCAAAAGCCGGGCCGCCAACCCTCAAGCGGGTAGTGGTCACGTCTCACTGACCACAGCCAACTCCCAATGACCCCCCTTCTTTCCCTCAAACGAGACGTGTTGCAAGATGCTGCTCACCTCTGTCTGCAGGAGACCAGAGAGAAAAGTGTTTTTAAAAGTTTCTGTGTGTTCAGCTCTCAGTACTTTTGTATCCTCCAACTGAATCTCTGTGGTTTGGAGTTTAGTTTCTCTCCTGCGTCCTGTTTTTACTTTAGGTATCCACTTTATTTTACTGTTTCATGTTTGCGACCTGCTGTATCAGAAATTGTGTAAAGTTGCTGCTCGAAAACTTAACATTTCCTTATTTTGCTGCTTCACAATAAAAGTTTCTACATAATAAAATAACGGGGGACTTTTATTGTGAAGAATCTGTAGGAAATGAACTGTGTTTATCACTGACTTCACTGAACTTTGTTGGCGGCTTTTCTTCAATAAAGACAAGTAATACGGCAGGGAGGAAAGTGAAAGCACAAACAGCCACAGTGAAATGTCTGATGAAGAGCTGCAGACATTTCACTGTGGCATGTCTGATGAAGAGCTGCAGACAACAAATTCTTACTGCACCTCTGCAAACAGCTCACCTCCAACAGATAAATGTCTTTAACCTGCCCTGCTGTGTGATGGAAGAACACATGCAGCAAAAATAACTGGGTGGACCAGCCCACTGCTTTCAAATGTCATCACTCAAGACAAGCCTTCATCAGTCAAAGACACGCCTTAAAGTGGGTTGCCCTGTTGTAATGCAAATGCAAATCCCTGCCAAGCCAAACCAAGCCAGGCCTTGACTGTAGAAAAGGGGTTTCAATGTCTTGTGTGCAGTTCAGGTATGGATCTAGTATTAGCTGGGAGCAAACATTTGTCTAAACCTTTATGAAGTTGAACAGACTCTACTATGCAGAACCCATGGGTAACTATTCTACAGAAAATCTAATTTCTGATCCTTCCAACCTCAGTAATGAAAGGTCCCCCACAGGAGCCTTTGGGTCGGTGTAACAGGGCAGCAGGCAGGGTCCCTCATCACTTTGGACAGTGACATATGACGCCAGCGGGCAGGCTCAGCCTCTCCTCTCTCCATTCATCAACTCAATGACATCTTAAATTTTAAAGCTTCTGAGCTGTCACAAAGTAAGCTTCATAGTTTCCCACTCACTTCGATAAATCAAAAACGTGGCCAACCGGCTGCCATGCCACCGACTGAGTCGAAGACAGCTGAGCGAGCCGGCGAAAGACGGGAGCTCAAATGGTGATTGAGGAATTGCAGAGAGCATGTTAGCTAAATTCATCTATTCATGCTGATGGTGGGTTTAGAAAACATTTGGGTTGCTCTGACTTGTGTGTCAGGTTGCATGTAATGTTGGACCTTTAGCTGAAGGCTCCTTGAAATGCAGAATGGTGACTTTGTAGTAGTTTGGAAAGTCCAAGCCAGGTTTGTGTAAGGTCAAAACCAAGGCCAGTGTTTGTTTTTCTCAATGGAAAATATGAAAAATATTCACTGATACTGATTGAATATTAACGATTCACCTTTTAACCACAACAAAAACAAATAAAAACTGCATTTAAAGAAAAGCTAAAAGGTGACATAAGGAAGAAAGGCCAAATGAACCAATTACTTGATTAAATGCAGTCTTAGACATGCAAAATATTTTTTCCTCAGCAGCTGATTTAGCTTGGGCCCCCGGTGGTTAGAGGTTAACTTGTTTAATCCAAATTTTTTTCCAGACAAAACCCTTTGAAATAATCGAACTTTTTAAATTTTCATGGAAAAGTAGGTGAAAATGAGAAAACCTGTCTCAGTTGTCACAGGTGGGATTATGTGTATCTACCATTTACTGACCAAATTAACATAATCTCCTATGCAGTCATCCAAATTCTTATATATCCCATCTCAGTTATTAAAACATTTAAAACTCTGTCACTGGCAGTCCCCAGCATTGCCACTAGAACGCTCTATCACATTCTAGAGTGACTACTTTACATATAAAAAACCCTTATACATTCATATGTCACCGCTTCGTCAATGGCCTTTCACATTCACACATGACATGCTAGGTATCCTCCTGTGTCTGCTATTGACATTCCAGGATGTGCTACCAATACTAGGACAATAAGGGAACACTCAGTTCCTGGGTGAAAGTCCAGGGTTTGTTGGACCTACCTACGCTAGACAGACTTTCCTGCTCCTTATATTGCATCGTTACCAGCAGTGTTTCAACCTGACCGCGTCCAGCAGCATATCATACCGCCCTAATAGGGCATATCATAGCAACACCAAAGGTTATGTCCAGCCTGGTAACATACTGTTGCGAAAGGTGGCTTTTGGCGTCAGGTGTCTTTGGAATGAGAACGGGCTGAAGGGGGAGGTCATAATCACTGATAAAGGTGTTCCTGTCATGATCTGTTTGCATACGTTCAGCATAGGGCTGGGCGATATGGCCTAAAAAAAAAATCTCAGATTTTTTCACAGCAAATCCGATTCACGATTTAAATCGATTTTTTCCCCTCCTAGTTAAAAAAAAATAAATTGCGGCCTGGTAGCACATACCTGGGGTCCAAAACTTTCAGCATGTGAATAAACCCCGGCTTTTCCACGGTAGCCTATATATGGGCACCACATCTCTTGCAATATACATGGCGACTGCATCTGTGATAGCTTTCCACCGGACCCCTTTCTTATCATACGGCAGTGTTTCCCTACCATTATATTGGATCACAACATAAGTCATTTAAGGTTACCTTTCCTTACTGTATCTTACCTTACCTTTGTATGTGTGTAGTTGATGTAGGAGGTATGAGACGTTAGTGCACCGGGTGTGGTGTGTGACGTCAGACGGATGCGCCCCAGGAAGAAAGTGAGGCATGTGCTCTGTTGTTTACATCCAGCAGCCACAGTGAAGAAGCCTACGCAGTTCTGCATGCTGTTTTTGAGTTATTTCCCTCTATGTAAAAGTCAGACACTGATGACAGAGGCTGTGCATCATCCCTGCAGTGCTGAAAATAAAGTGCCGTTCTTTAACGCAGACGAAGTCCCGTTGTTTATGTGTTGTTGCCACAACGAGCTAACACAAGCTAAAGGAGCTAATGGTCTTCGGAGGTCCCTTTACTATGGTTCGGGGGTCTGCCAGCTTGGCGTTGGTAAAACTTATTTATCTTATTTGCACAACGGCATGTCATTTATGTCCCTACACGGTGCGCGTCTAAAATCCTCCTCTGCTCTCTGTGTCGTGCACAGCGGAGTTCGGCCCTGATGCGCGTGCACACACACACACACACACACACACACACACAGGTGAGCACACAGACACAGACACAGGTGAGCATACAAAAGCGCTGAAGAACTCGTTCCCTTTCTTGAGAACGAGTTCTTCCCCGCTCGCTGCCATGTTGTTTGTGTATCAACCGCGCGGGGGGA